GAGATATCAAAAGACGTGACTTCCCCAGCACCAGCGACCTGCCAAACACAACCACCAGACTTCAAATCCCTACACGCCGCTCATCCTTATTATCCTCCAGAATCATCTCACAAAACCTCATACTTTCCAATGGACCGGCCTTCATCAGGCTCCGTACGGAGTATTTCGCCATTTCAAACCCCCCAGCACTCCCGCCTTCTGGATCACAGCTTTCTCGGCGCGACGCCTCTCACGGAGACTCCGGCAACAAGCGCAAGCATCGGCAGAGGGGGCACTCCTGGTTCGGACAGGGTCTTGTCAGGCCGTGTCAAAAAGTCGACTCACAGAACACCTTTGCGCAAGGAAGATGTTCTCAGTGAGAAGGAGAAGGGGGAGGAACAGCGGCAACTGAAAGAGATGATGGAGGAAGTGAAGCTCTTTCCTAGAAGCGACAGTTGGGCCGATGACGAATTCAAACTGTTCAAAATTTTGTTCATGAGACAATACAGCCCTCTGCTGCCAGGTGACTGGCAGATGAGCTTCAGAGGCATCCCAATTCCCGATATCCTATTTGCCAGCTCCGTTGCACACCCACCCATCATCAACACGCGGTCCGGCAACGATTTCAAAGGTGGGGCTTGATGCTTCAACTTGATGGTATTGAGTGCTAACTCGGCTCCAGCGACGAAAGCTTTGGCTCGCCTCATTGACCTGACGAGAGAGGTTCGAGGCTTGGCTCAGACAGGCCAAAGGCACAGAGCGAGCGCGCTGATCACGAAGAGACTCCAGGAGTACGCCAAATGGGCTGAGCACGATGGAGAGTACGACACACTTGATTACGTGCCGAACATCATTATCGACGCCGTCGACACGTCTCAGACGCCGCAGGCAATTGAGGAGCACATGCAGAACCGGCTAAGAATCGCCGCCGCAAGTCAACGCGCTCACTGGAGAGCTGAACGGGCACCTGAAAGCGGTCATGAGGAGAAGGAAGAGAATGGGTACGCGTCAGAAGTCGACCCCGAGGAGGCTGAGCCCGAGGACAACAGGATTGTTCTTGTGCCGGACAAGTACCCGACGCCGTCACCGCAAAAGGCCGACTTGCCTCCGTCGACCCCGCATCGAAACGGGATCAACGGCGATGGCATCAGCGAGCATAGCAGCCCGAGCGAAAACTCCGAGAGCGCCGAGCAGCCGGACGAACTCTGGGCCGGCGAGTATACGCGGCGCCCACCTGTCATTTACGGACTGTTCGTTGTCAACACATCGGTCATGGTGCTCACTATTGACTCGGCAAAGGAACAGGACGCTGCTGGGAGTTACCAGGTGGAAGTCGGCTTCAGCAAACGTGGCCAGGACGTGTGGAACGCGATCACCATTGCCATCGTTGTCTGTCTGGCCAGGGACACCATCGTGGAAATGAGGAAGAACTTTGAGACTTCGGTTTTGGACGAGTCGAGCGACCCTGACGCTTGATATGACGGTATGAATGATATGAGGCCCCGGCACGGCAGCAAGCGTCGTTTGGTCTTTCTTTTCTCTTTGTTTACGGCGGCAAGCAGTCCTTTGGAATGCGTATACCCATTTCTGTTTTGGCGAACGCTGCAGATACCCATTTCCAGAGTAGAATCCTTGGCAACTATGTTCCCCAACAAGGCATCATAAGATTAGCTGCATCCTTATTTCTCTAAAGATCATCCGTACTGTGCGCTCAGCTGAGCAGATGGCATGACTTTCACTGGGCAGGGATGACATTCCAAAACTAGGCGATTGGCTCGTCAATCTGGGGCATCGTTACAAGCCTTGACGACCCCTCACTTGGGACATGTGCGCATTATCGACAAGTGTCTTGATCCTGACTTCACGGCTCCTATCACCGACCTGAAGCGCCGAGCCTTGAGACGAATTCGTCGGATCCGGCCCTGACGGGATCCAAGTCGTCCCGCGACCGATCCTGTCTCCATGAGGGTGCTCGGCTCTTGGCTCGGAGTCATGCAGATCGGAGGTCGGCCGCCGAAGCAAGAGAAAACACAGGATGTGACGAAGCAAGGCAGAAAAGTCGACGACTCTAATCAATTCGCCTCTTAACACCGAGGATGGCGCTGTACGACCTCGGGATTACGTATCCTATTTTTTTCGTAATGGCGTTGGAGGGGTGCCGACATAGGACACCGACTGCCTTATTCGTCACCGCCACGATTCCCCATACCGCAAAATGCCCCGTTACCCTGTCAGCTTATTCAGGTCGCCTGTCACTGGGCCATCGCCTTGCCCGTCCTGCAGGCCAGGTTCTCGGAGCCGGATTCCGGTCCACTACGAGCTGCAGGTACTTTGGGGGCCTTTTCTCACAGTGAGGGAAGGGAATGTCAAGGAAGCGTCTGGTGGTGTGCTGCGTGGAGGGATGATAGGTCAAGAGCCGAGCCATCCTGCTCTGATTCGGCCGGGGAAGGAATCGAATTTTCACAATGGAGGGCTGCCATTCTCGATTCTTGTGTCCTGTTCCCTGCGCTAGGGGTGGCTGGCGGCGGTGTAAGTCAAATCCTGCTATTTCAAGACTTGACATGTGTGTAGTAGCACACGCAGTAACACATCATCCTGCTGCTGCTGCTGCTGCCGCGGCGCCGCCTTTGTCGGGCTCGGAGAGCGAGCTGGCCCAGCGAGGTGTGTTGCATTGCATCCTGGGAGGGCTTACTACGACAGAGTATGGTACCTTCTGGGGCCCTGTACCTTGGTCGATTCCAGAGCGCTGGAGGGGAGGGGACCGGAGACCGAACTGGCGGGCATAGCGCTGCGCGAGGGTGGATTTGATTTGTGACCTAGACCTGGGCTTGATGAGGAGGGGACCATTGCCCTTCTCTCTCTCTTTTTTCTGCCGTATCTCGCTTGGCCGACGGGAGTGTGCCGCGCTGATGTGAGAGATGATCGGGTTGTCTAATCTGATGTGATGTTGTCTTCTCAGACGGGGGGACGGGTGGGATGGGACGGTGCCCAAGGATACCTGACTGTAGATCAATCTGTTTGCTGGAGGTGCAAGTCATGGCGTGTCGGTGAAGTCCTAGGGCACAAGTCAGTTGGCGTGACATTCGGCTTTACTGAGAGAGCATTAGAGTTCAAATTCTTTCCTCCGGGGCCCAAGGGTCTGGCGCAGAACAACATGGAGACAGCGTTGCTCGCCAGACGTGCCGATTGATCCATTCTCGAGACAAGCAAATCAGAGCGTGCTGGCGGATGGAGTAGTCCAGGGTGTCCAGGGGAGCCGGCCCAGGCCAACCGGGAAAGGCTAATTACGGCGTATTGTTCGGGTTTAGGCTGGAGATTTAGGGTAGATAGGTCGTGTCATTTGCTCCCCGGCTGTCGTTATCTCGCCTTTGCTCGGCTAGATGTGATTATTGATGGTTGTGTAAGGGGAAAGAAAAGGGGGCATGATGATGAGGACAGATGAAGGAATATTGACTGCGCAAAGACGACAAGGTCGTGAACGCAAAGTTAGTTTGGGGAGGCAGGACAGCGACAAAACAAATCGAAAAAGAACAAGGCGAAAAAAAAACAAACATGCTTCAAATATTCCCCAAACAGCATTAGTTCGACCCTCCGTGTCATCAATGCCGCGATGCGATGCTGGACTGGACGCAGCAAGGTGGACTCGAGTCGGGTGGATATTGCTAAACTCGGTGGACCACGCACCCATGTCTTGAGTGTCTAGCGACATGCCACGGGCGGCCAATCAGCAGCCACATGTTGTAATCCGTGACCTGTCAGCCCAGATCACCCAACGACGGGCTCCGATTTTCCCCCATTCTCGTCCGTCACTCGTCATTGGGAACCCAGCGTGGGCTGTCTGTTCTCGTGATTTCTGCCAGCGCCGCGTACAGTTGCACGTTCTCGTCCGCCCATCACCATCGCCCTGTTCGCCCTTGTCGCCTCGTTGTGTGTGTGTGTCGAGGTACACCACGGCCACCACGCACATCGCTACCACGCTTCCCGCCACTAGCTCAGCGTCCGTCACTTGTCAGGTTCGCTACAGACTCGCTACCGCCTAGCAGGCTACAGCCTCCAGGTCCTCCTCAGAGTCTCGCACCCACCGAGCCAGCCCTCTCACCGCCCGGTGAACCCTCGCAAGCGCCTCCCAGCGCACCGCCAGCCGGGTACGGGTACGGTGCAGCGTGTACGGGTGCCCTGGATAGCCACTGACTGCCCACTGTCAGAGTCGTCTCCCACGAGGGGCTCTTACATGTCCGTCATCATCACCAGCAACACTTGTTGTCTCCTCCTCACCAGCATGCACTCGAAGAAATCACCGCTCTATCCCTCCTAGGCGCTCGTCATCTTCTCACAACCCTCTCCTCCTCCTTCCCCAACCCAACCCCTATTCAGCGTAACTCGGCTTCTCAAGCCCCCCGGGCTCTCGGCCCCTCCATCTCTCACACCACACTGTGTTCGTACAGGCAACCCGAACACGGCGAACCCCTTCGTCCCTTGGATCAACGGTGGCGACCCTCTGTCTCTTCTCAGTCCCCCGGCCGCCGATTCCGCCTTCTTGCTCCGTCATCCGGTTCTCCATCTCCCTCCTGACCTCTTGTCGTCGACTGTGGACGGGGCAATCCCTCCCCTGAACCATCCTCCGGCCTGCCGACTGTCGAACCACCTTTGCAACCGTGGTGGGGTTGTCTAAGTTTGACCTGCTTTTGACTTCTTTCCCTCTTCCTCTACCTCCGTCGACCGCTTTGCCCGTTGAAGTATCCTCTTGCCTCCGAGCCAGCCTGTCGCCTTCCTCCGGTCTGAGCCTCTACTGCTTACGAAGTCATCAAATCCCCCGTGATCGATACCTCGGTGAAGGCTTCTAACAGCAAACCCCTGAATACGAGCCTCTCGGATCTACTGGTCTTGCGGTTTGATACAACACAGACGCCTACCGCAGACATCCACCTCGCACCCACGACCGAGCCGCGCTTCTTCGAATGGCGATGGCCGATGGCATCTCGTCGGCGGCTCAGGGTTCGGCCAAACAGCCCCCCTCGACCATGCGAACCGCCCTTCCATCACGGCGCATGTCCCCGAAAGCCCGAGACGGAGGGCAGCATGGCGCTGTAGAGCACGCGAGAATCCCCAGCCCCGGCCCCAGTGCCGACAACATCGACTCGACGACCCTGCGCCCGGAAATGCGACGCAGTCCGTCGAGCGAAGCCACTTCAATGTCGGTCGCCAGGAGTCCAGCCTCAGTATCCAGCGACAGTTCTCCCCAGGCGAGAAGGACGGAAGCCAGACCCAGCCCGGCACCGACGACCGCGAGTTCTGCATCCGGGCAAACCGGCCAGGTCTGCAGGTAAGGAGACGACAGCCAGACCACCCCCTTTTCTGCAATAAGACTAATCAGCCGCAGCAACTGCGGTACAACAAGGACACCGCTGTGGAGGAGATCGCCTCAGGGAACGACGATTTGCAACGCTTGTGGCCTGTACCAAAAGGCAAGAAACGCTTCGCGGCCAACTAACCTGAAGAAACCGCCGCATCTTGTTGCTGCTACACCAAGGACCGCTCCGCCAAAAATCGCCCCTGCGCCTGGCCCTGGCCCGAAATATCTCAGCGCTCCCGCTCCGACGTATGTCACCGAGGAGCAGGCCCCTTCAGGGACCTGCCCAGGCGGTGGAAAGTGCAATGGCACTGGCGGCGCAGAGGGTTGCAGCGGCTGTCCTGCCTACAACAACCGCGTGTCGAAATCTGCTCACTTGAATGTTGTTCAGGGGCAAGGTTGCGGCGGCGGCGGCGGTGGCAGCTCCTCGAGTCAGCAGCAGCAGCAGCAGCAGCCTGAGCCCATGGCAGTTGACGACCCCGCGGCTCCCGTTGACATTGCTGCTCTGCAAATACAGGGACAAAACTCAAACACGACCGTCGTTATCGCCTGTCAAAATTGCAGCACGACCGTCACGCCCCTGTGGCGACGTGATGAAAGTGGGCACACGATTTGCAATGCTTGCGGTATGTGCCGTCGAAATCTGGGGAAGATCTCGATCTCGATGTGCTGACATAATTAGGTCTCTACTACAAACTTCATGGAGTCCACCGGCCCGTCACCATGAAAAAGTCGACAATCAAGCGAAGGAAACGAGTGATCCCCTCTTCGTTTGGCGGTGAGTGGACTGAAGAGATGCTTGACGGATCAGAAACGCAGAGCATGGCGCCTGAGGGCAGCCCGGAAAGAGGCACGATGAACGAGGACGGGTCTATCAATCTGGGTTTTCGGCATCGCCAGGAGGGCCCCCTGGCTATGCTACCAGATCCTCAGATGCGCCCCAACAGGCAAGGGTCCCCTCTGCCATCGGCGACCGACCTGGCAGCATATCAATCATCGATGCCGCGGACGTCGCATCCCTACACTGGATCGCTCAACGACGACAACCGACTTGCGCCGATCACATCGCTGACCGCAATTGGCGAACGTCAATCGTCTCTGTCACCTGCGTCGTTTCTCCCGCCATCGCGCAAACGGTCCTTGTCTGCTGAAGGAAACCCGGCGGGTGATGGTGGCCCCGACACCTCGAAGCGGCTGTCGTCCATCAAGTCGATCCTGAACCCCACCGACGGGGACGAGAGCCCTACCTACCATTCCGGAGGCGAGGACGCCGCTGAGCACTATGCCCGGTCTGCAATGTCTCCCGCCGGCTCGGCGCCGAGTCCAGGGTCCTACTCCAACACTCGCCTGACGCCCCTGCCCTCGCCGGGGCCCAGCAGCCAGACAAGCCATCCGGGCTACAGCAACCAAGAGAGTGAGAGGGCGAGGGCCGAGAAGAGGGCCGCTCTGACTAGGGAGGCGGAACGGATGAGGGAGATGCTCGCAGCGAAGGAGCGAGAACTTGCGGAACTGAACGACTGAACGAATCTTCCAAACGATACACACGAAAAACGGGATCGGGATATCGGCACGGGGTTATCATGTGCGCGCACATCATGGCTTTGGAGTTGCTTGTGTGAATTTTTGAAACAAGGAGATGGTGGGCGGTAATCTTGTGGTTTTTTGCGCGAAAGTCCAAACGGAGTCATTTTGCTTTGCTTTGCTTCTTCCATTCTTCTTCTTACTCCTTTTTTTACCCCCGGCGAAACGAGAGAGAAAAACAAAAACGGACAGGTCTGGCCTTTACAGGAAAAGGGAGAGGGTGGTGTTGCGCATCTTGGCGCTCAAAACAAAACTGCATCTTATCTGTCCCGGCGTGGCTCACGACGCGGCGGCGTTTCTTCGTATTACGACGACCAAAAAAATCCCTTGTTTTTTGTCCTTTTGTATTTGGACGGGCTATGAAGGGCAAATGCTTCTTTCAAGAGAAAAGGGGGGAGTTTGAATAGTCTCTTCTGCTTTTCCATGGTTTAGATATCGGACCATCGACTGGTAATGGGCTCTACTAGGCCAGGGTAGTGGGACAGACGGCCTGGATGGAGAAAAATTCAAGCATGGCAATTGTCATTGGACAAGATGCCGCGTACGTTGCTGTTTTCCGCCGCAAAAAGTAAAAAAAAAGCGAGCAAGTTTGCACGTCGAGTTGTTCAAGAAAAAGGGGTCTGGGACATCCAAGGTTGGTTGTGTGTTTTCGAGGGCAAAGAAATCAGGTCTGTTAGACTAGCCATTACGGATCCCAAACAATACCCTGCTTTTACCGGCCTCCTTTGTTCTCCTTACACCATCTAAGAAATAAGTGAAATTCATACGATTGCGCCCACCGCAAAGCAGACGCAACATCTTCCCAACCACTGACGCAAGTCCCACACCATGCGCAAACTCATACCAGTAGCGCTTTACAAGTTTCCGAATACAGGCAATGTACAGCGGGCCCGGCGGGCCAGACATCCAGAGGGGGTTTTCTGTTGGGTTTTACAGTTGTTTCCCTTCTTCGTCGGATCTGCCCTCTGCCTCTCTTCTCGGTTCGGTTCTGTTCCCCATGCTTTGTCGCAAGGCCGAAGGTCGCGTTCCCCTCTCTTTTCAGTATCTTGACAATTCGAAAAATCCTCAGCAAATCCGGTTCACATCGTAGCCATCTCTGACCCGTGCCTCCCGCCCCAAAGAAGCTTTGGGAGGGAAACGCATCCGAGATGGGCTTTTTGGTATGTTGTAAAGGGGGGCGGCTAGCTTACACCTGCTCTGCTCCCCAGCCGCCGTCGGCCTCGCGCATGTTGGCTGGCGGCTCGATCTGGGGGACGAACTCGAGGGCGGCGTAGGCGACGCCGATAATGCCGATGATGGAGCCGGCGAGGATCTTGAAGATGCCGTTGTTGATGAGGATGGAGCCGATGAAGATGTAGACTAGAAGCGAGCGTCAGGATCGCAGGTTCTCCAAATCGGGGAGGGCTGCCAGGCTTGAACTTACAGATTCCACGGCCGATGAAGGAGAAGAGGAAGGAGGCGTAGCGGGACACCTGGGGAGGAATCTGGAACTCTGCAATTGGGTTAGACGGGCTTCTGGGAGCTGGAGACAAGGTCAAGTACCAAGAAGAGCGGTGCCTGTGTCCAAGAGGTTAGCTTTGGTTCCCGATCCGACTGTGGTTTTTCGGCAGGGCGCAAACTTACAGAGACCGAAGATAATGACGTAGGCGCCAACAATGATTCCCTGGCTACAGGCGGTTGTTAGTCGGGTCGTACAAACATGGACTGCGTCCCCTTGTCCACAGAATTTTTTGATGCGCGGAGCCGTGCGCGCGCGCTGCGAGATAGCTTCGCGGCAGCGATGCGCAAGCACATGAGATGTCCGACGGGATCGGCTGAGGGCGAGGACACGTACAAGGAGAAGTCGAAGAATTGGGCGATACCACCCAGGACCATAACGGTCGCGGTGACAAGGTTGACGATGCGGCTGTTGGGGGCGATATGTTAGTCCATGGCAATGCGATGGGGTGTCCGGGGGGCACGTACAAGGCGTCGGAGAGCTCCATGTTGGCGATTTAGCTTGGTGGTGGTGGTTTCGGAAAAGTTGATGGGCGGAAGGGGGATATGTAAAGGAAGAAGAAGGGGAAGAAGAAGCTGACGTGGATGGAGACGGAGACGCCAGGCAACTGGATATCGCGGGTCTTTGGGGATGGGGATGTGTGAGTGGGAAACGTGCAAGGTGGGTGCGAAAGGTGTGACGTCCGGAGAAGAGGCTGACGAGTCAAGGTGCAGCACTTGTGTCCAGTGTGTGTTGTGCTTTGCTCCTGAAGCTGGCAAACCTGGCAGATTAGATACAAGGAGTGCAGCCAGCTGTGGATACTGCGACGGGGGTAGGTACCCGGTACTTTGTTAGCTGCTGCCGTGCTGCTGCACCAAACAACCCGAACACGTAGCAGTGCCAACAGGAGGCGCATGTCACCAGCCACACCCAAGCTAACCCACCAGCCTCTCACAGAAGATTTTTTGACACTGACATTTGAAAGCTCTGCGACCGCCTGCCTGAATTGGGGGCCAGCAGGGGTTCAGCGACAATCGCGACGTCAATTGGTGTAGAGGCAAGCTCATTACCTCAGCCGAAGCAAGGTGAGAGCTTCACTTCAACAGCTCCCACTTGATTGATGGTCTGATATTGAGGACTTTTCGACAACGGATTGCTGGTCTCATTGGCTCTTTCGCTTACTACGATGTGAGCGCAATCAACTGGAACTTTCTTTTTCCCATATTTGTACAACAAATTTTGTTTGATGTTCCCGTCATGTTAGCCCTCCGAGCTTCAGTGCCTAGGCAGAGCCACCTCGGCCGGCTGCCGGGGCGAGCTCTGTATGTCGGTGTCTTGAGTTTCCGGAGGTCGATACACATGCCTCCCGTGCAGACGAAGCATCACTCTGCGATTAAGGATATTAGGAACATTGGCATCATTGCTCATGTTGACGCTGTGAGTGCGCCATTCACAGCTTGCAGGATGAGATTGCTGATGACCTGAAGGGTAAAACGACCACCACTGAGCGCATGTTATACTATAGCGGCGTGACTCGTCGAGTTGGAGGTAAGAACTTTTGTGAGGAGTCGTTCTGGTGGATGAGAGTTGCGGATGGGCAGTGAGAGTCTGCAGGATCATGAGCTGATGTCAGGATCCAGATGTCGATGCCGGAAACACCGTAACGGACTTTCTTGACTTGGAAAGAGAAAGGGGCATCACGATTCAGTCAGCAGCCATCACTTTCAACTGGCCTCTACCAGAAGACTGCCAGCCTGGAAAGCCTCCCAAGACTATCAACCTCATCGATACCCCCGGTCATCAGGACTTCAGATTCGAAGTCGACAGGTGTCTTCCTGTTCTTGATGGTGCAGTGTGCATCATTGACTCTGTGAAGGGTGTGGAGGCTCACACAGAGAGAGTGTGGGCTTCTGCGCATGAGCACAAGATCCCGCGTATCGTCTTCGTCAACAAACTGGACCGAGACGGCGCATCATTCCGCAAGTCGGTGCTTGAGATTGGTTCTCGTCTCGGCGGATGGCCACTAGTATGTCAGATACCATGGTGGGAGGGCGACCAATTCGTCGGCGTTGTCGATATCATCAACCGCGTCGGATACAGGTGGAAGGCCGAAAAGCAAAAGACAAAGTACGAATTCGCCGAACTTCAGGAGGTGCTTTCGGGCAACCCTCTTCTTGCGGAGATCGAGACGGCTCGCGAAAAACTGATCGAAGGAGTCGCCGAGTGGGATGAGGCCATTATGGATCTCTTCGTTGACGATCCCACCAAGATCACCAGTGAAATGCTCAAAGAGGCTGTCCGCAACGTCATTCGCAGCGGCGACGGAAATGCCATCCCCGTCCTGGCGGGCGCCAGTTTCCGACACATTGGCGTCGAGCCTCTGATGGACGCCATCGTCGACTACCTGCCTAGTCCAGACGAACGTCCAGAGCTCGAGGTTCGCGTGGGAGCCAACAAACAAGAGCTCCAGAAGCTTCTGGATAACACTAACAAGCATAACAAGAAGGCCAGCCACGGCCAGGTTGCTGCTGTAGCGTCTGTCTTCAAGGTCTTCCACCATCCCAAGGAAGGAACTCTGAGCTTCGTCCGCGTTTACCACGGCGATCTTCACCGGAACTCGTCTACCTGGAACACCCACATCCAGCAGTCGGAGAAGCCTTTCGGTCTGGTACAAATATCTGCGGAGAAGACCGAAGACGTGCAGCATCTGGCAACGGGCCAAATTGGTGCCATCAAGGGGCTGAAGAAGGCTCGCACGGGCGACACTCTTCTCGCATCTGTCGGCAACAAGCAAGTTCCAGATAGTCTGAAGCATGTTCACATAAGACCGCCCGAGATCCCCCCAGCGGTTGCATTCCTTGCCATCGATCCTCAGGGCATGACTGCCGCCAAGGAGCTTGAGATTGCCCTAGACAACGCATCCCGAGAAGACCCCAGTCTCAGATGGACGCGCGACGAGAAGACTGAGCAGTTCATCCTCCAGGGCATGGGCAAGCTCCACCTTGATATCGCGGTCCACAACCTCAAGCAAAACCCCAAGGTCCAAGCCGATTTCGGCCCCATTGAGGTCGACTACAAGGAGTGCATCACTGCCCCGATCGGACCTCACCACGTCACGTATGACAGAGTGGTCGCGAGCAAGTCTGGCAGGGTGTCATGCAGCGCGACCCTTGAGCCGCTTGAAGAGCACCACCGGCAGGCCGCCCTTGAACCAACTGTCGAGCGCGATGGCAATATGATCCATGTCATCATCGACTTACCCGAAGAGGGCTATTTCCCCAGCTTTGACCCTGAAGAAGCCCGTCAACAGCTAATCAACGGAGTAGTCGCCGCACTCGCACGTGGTCCGCGCCGCGGTTCACCTGTACAGGGCTGCCACATCACAATTAAAGTCGTTGCCACCGAGGTTGAGAACCCATCAGGAGGACACTTCACAGGCGCCGCAAGCCGTGCTGTCCGCGAAGCCCTCCGCGAAGCCCACACCACGCGCCAGGCGGTTGGTGTTATGGAGCCTGTCATGCTGGTGCACATCAGCTGTCCCGAGGCCGCGGCGGGCATGGTGCAGCACGACATCAGCTCTGGCGCGGGAGGCCATGTGTTGGAGATCAATGACAAGTCTGCCGAGTCGAGTTCAACGATTGATGTCAGCAGAATATATGCTCCCCCGGACCCTTACGACAGTGTCGCATCCCTGAGGGGCAAGAAGTCCATGGCCAGGACGGTGGAGATCGTGGCTAAGGTGCCCTTCAAGGAGGTCCTCAACTTTGATGAGCATTTGAGAGGCAAGACTGGCGGACGGCACTCGATGACTATGGCGTTTGACAGCTTTGACCGCGTCGTGGGCTCCAGGGAGAAGGCATTGTAAAGATAAGACACGTGATGTACTATATAATCCAAAAGGGAGGTGCCGATATACGGCAATTGTGAAGAGAAATTTTCAAACACATCCAACTCATTAATCGAATGGACACTGCACATATGATGTGGATATTCACAAGGAAACAGTGGCCAGCGGGCATCTTAAATCACGGAAAAATGACTAAGCCAGGTTGTGAGAGGCTTTGAATCTCCGGAAGCCGAATATCGTTCCAACGCAGTGAAGAGAGCAAAAACAACAACCTGGGCCAAAAAAAACAAAAACAAATGTAGCACGACCTGGTTTCGATCCAGGGACCTCTGGGTTATGAGCCCAGCGCTCTACCCCTGAGCTACCGTGCTTGCACTGTGTTGGAAAACTTCTTGCCTCACGAGATATGTAGGCCTGGTGGGGGCTAGGTGTGACTCGGACGTACAAGTGAATTCTCTTCGACAGCGTCTCTAATGCAACTCGAACGTTACTCAACAGAAAAGCATAATACTAAAGTAGTCCTTGGCCTAATTCAAATCACAATATTAGATATTGTGAGCTTTTGTGAGGCTTTCTCGTTTCTTGTACTCGTGTGCTGATGATTTTTCGTCGTAGCTGTCTATTCAACATCTCCCTGTTTGTTATCACACACCAAGTCAGTAATATGGGAGTGTTCTAGTCACATAGCTAGACTTTCTGAAAGATAGGGGTGACTGAGAATATGCTATGTACACAGTGTTTTCCAGCAGCAATGCCGCAGTCTTGCAGATTGCACACCTCGTATAAACTACTATATTAGAGAAATGCATGATTGGCCGACGGTGCTTACATGCAGTCGACTTTCCGTGTCCCTCGCCTTACAGCTTCCTATTTGGGTGGAAGTAGAATCAGGCTGGCTCTCCTCAGTCTAGTGTAAGACAAGGCTGGTGTTCAGCAGGCTTGGCTGAGCATCTCGTGTGTGACACAGCATCAGATCAGGCTGTGAGTAGGGAACGTGTATAAAAGGAGCTGTCTTAGCTTCTGTGTTTTTTCGTGTGACTGTGTTCGGTGACCAATAGCCTGAGGTAACACAAAGATGAAGCTTTTCGATCGCGCCGCCAGAATAACTGGAAGTCTTTTTGCTTTCAAACAAGAATTTGTTCCTCTTCGATCTCGTTTTCCAGAGAGATTCGCCTGGAAAGCTTCCATTAAATCGTTGATCATACGGAACCAAGCTTCGACTAATGCGACATGGCTCCCCTCTGGGTGGCGAAGAATGGCGCTTTTCAATATCGGCACACTGACAGTTACGATGCTGTTCCTTCTGGGCATTTATTGGGTCGCGTTGGCAAAAACCAAGAACTTTATGCAATCCTGGCGGTTTTTCTCGGCGGACTGCGGAAGGACGACCGTTACCAACACGATGCTGCACCTGCTGATCAACATTTTTTCGACTCTGGTGCTCGCATCCTCAAACTTCTTCATGCAAGTTCTGAACGCACCAACCAGATCGGAAGCAGATACTGCTCACGCTCAGGGTAGATGGCTTGATATAGGCGTAACTTCTTGGCGGAACGCTTTCTATCTTTCCCGCTTCAAACGTTTTGCGTGTCTTTGCTTACTTTTGACGTCAGTCCCTATTCATATGATGTTCAATAGTTCTGTGTTCAAGATCGACAAACGGATGGGGGATTTTCATGTAACAGTCGCCTCCAACGCATTCATCGAGGGCGGCTCCTACTTTCTCCCAGGAGCAAGCATGATCATAAGCAACACCACAACCAATGGCAATCTTGGCGACACGGCCCTCCTGCCAACCTTTCAAGATCTCGTCATCAACAATGTTTCACAATATGCACTCAATGTGTCGCAAGCAGCTGCTATAGGTTCGGAATGGGAGAAACTCGAGCCAGCAGACTGTGGAGGGCTCTTCAACATATCAACATGTACCGGCTTGACCAACTTTCGCAATCTCGTCATAGTCTTGAAGGGCTCTGGATGGAAAAGATCTGAAACTTGGAACCTCTCGGCGAATAATGACGAGATGTGGCAACCGATCTTGCCTCGAGACGAGTTCAATACCCTATGGTACAGTGCACAATGCGCTATGAGTGGTACCCTTACAGGTGACGGTTTTGCCAGTTGCCTCACGAACTGCGAAAAGTTCTTCAAATGGAAAAAATGGGAAGAAGATGAAAGCCGAGTCTCTATCCTTGTTCAAGACTGGTACCGTTCGCAACCGGTTCCAGATTACCATGGCTTTGAGCTAGATCACTGCCGGGCGGAGCCAAGAAACACAACCTGCAGCGTCGCTCTCGCCAAGCCGCTTCTTCTCATTGTCCTCATCTCAATCTTCATGAAGATTCTCACCTGTATGGTTGTAATGTTAGTTCTTGATGACGAAGAACCTCTCGTTACTCTGGGTGATGCTGTGGCATCATTTATCTCCATTCAACCACGCCCGGACTTTGTGTCAGGTTTAATGACGCATTCTATCCTTCAGGAAAGAGCAAGAGACGGAACCATCTGTCAACCACTGGGGCCTCGAAAATGGGTTCAAAGACAACACCATCGTTCTCCAGCTGTTCCCACGAGCGCCTGGGTCAAAGCCTACTGTCAATTCATTCCGAGTATTCTCGTGTTGCTGTTCATCGTCGTGGGTCAATTCAAGATAAACATATCGTGAGTATCGGCGCTTCAAAGTTCGCACTCCCGTGAGAGTGTTTCAACAAAGAAAAGAATTGCTGACTATGTTCAGAAAGTGGAATAACGCGGAGAATGCCATAGTCATGGCTCCTATCGGGGGTGCGAATATTCATTTCCTCACTACCTTGGTGGCCAACATCCCGCAACTGTATCTTTCGTCTAACTATTATGTGATTAACTCATTGATCACCCAAATGGAGATGGAGTGGGAGTTGAGTGAATTCTCAACCAAGCATCGCCCGTTGCGGGTCACGAAACCCAAGTAAGTCTCTGAGTTGAACCTATAGTTAAGATTCTGACTTTCCACAGGGGCCAACAAACATCTACATACCGCCTTCAATTGCCATATAAGCTTAGCGTTCCTCTGATGGTCTCCAGCGTCTTAATGCATTGGTTGCTTTCGAATGCGCTCTTCATGGTGGTTTCACAGGGCAGTGAGCACATCCTCCCCCTAAGGTTGATTATACGAATCTGGACTAACATGTCAATGGCAGCCTACTATGTTCTTGGCCCCTCCGACTATATAGTCGATCCTGACAGTCTTCCGAGAGATGCTGCAATAAATCTCGGTAGCTCGAGAGCGCACACGCTTGCATTATTCCTCGTTGGTATCTTGATGATGATCTGCCCAACGATTCTATCGAGACAGAAGCTGCCAGGGCAGATGCCAGTCGTTGGCTCCAACTCAATGGCGATTGCGGCTGCCTGTCGCGTCTCTCCGCTGGCTCAAGTGCCCCCGGATTCCCATGAAGAGAACAATATGCAAGAGACCGAGCTTGCAGAGCTTACAGGCGAATATGTTGAAGCCGCAAATGGGTCAGACAATCAAAAAAAGATGATATACTACCCTCTCAAATGGGGCGAGGTCAAGATGCCCAAAGACTGGTCCAAACACCCGACAGACGGTCAGGAACCGGAGGAGGTAGGCCATCTCAGTTTTGGCACTGTCCTCGACTGCCCCAGCCCTCCGAAGGATGGCCGCCTCTATGTGTGATAAGTGAGAGGCCAGTCTGGGTCATTGGTTGTCTCACGTCGTCATTTTTTCCCAAGCTAGATCGGCTAGTTGCTCTTGCCAGAATTTCGCATCTCATCTTCACGGCTAGACCACTAAACAAAACGCGGGCGGAGCTAGGCAGCTGTAGGGGAAGATGCTACATGTGATAGACTGTTTGCGTTTGGTTCTTGTGACCTATCGAAGTCAAGATCACAGGTGATGACGCGTGGCTGAAGATGGAATCAGAGTCAGTCTGAAGCATCGAGAGTTGCTGGTATACCAGCTTAGAACACAAGAAGGATCGATCGTGTAATTTCTCGTCAATGTTATGTCCCGGGCTACCGGGCTTTGCCTTGAGTAGGCCCCGTTACGTGGGATAAAAGTCCGCTAGCTGCAGAATAATCCATCAGCTTGCATGTGTGAAAGGCGGGACTTCAGTCGGTGATCTTGCCCTGTACTCATGCCTGTGCGGAAGAACTTGTGCAGCCCGGTGAGAGGCGGGTTGTGTGACGGTGTGATGGTGAACAAGACCCAGCACCGAAGTGTCAGATTCTAGCGCCGTCGGACTGGACAGTAGCCGTGATCCTTATTGACTAGTCTGCGATCTGGTTTGTCAGTATCAATGAGGAAGAAATGGACATGCTGCATCGGGGAATGTCGTTGATAAATTGTCCTACAATGACTTGACCTCACGTCATCCCCGGATATACGAGTAGCCAGTTTCGCAAGGACTTAAGACGCCCCTTGGTGAATGACCTACTTGCCGATGGACCTTAGCTAGCGCTCTAGAGACTGCGACTACGCGGTTGTCGTGTTAAGAAAATCGGGTGAGTTCAACCAGACCGCGTCTTCGAAATGCATCGAATGTGACAAATCGTCTACGTCAACATGCCAAGCTGCCATTCCCATCTGAGGCCGCCGAGCCCGATAGGCGCCGAACACGCCTCTTGTGCCATGATCCTAGACATTGGCGATGAAGAATATAGAAGAAAACAATTTCCATGTACCACCACGTGGCCGTGGACGTGGGACCCCGGAATGTCACTGATCCGCGAGGCGTTGACGATCATGAATAGATGTTGGCCGGGTCGCGGGCCAGGGTCTGGCGATCCTCCCATGCGGATGGAATTATTCTCGACCGGACAATGCCAAGCTTTTTTGTTTCGTTTGTCAAAGAGGATGAAAGTTGGGACGAACAAACGGCTGCTCTCCCGTCGCTTGTTTTATTTTTAGGCGGCAATGGGAAAAACAAGCGCGCTGGAGGTGGTGTGCCGTGGGCTTGCATTGGCCCTGCAGAGGCCCAACACAGCCTCTGGATGCCCGGATTGACGCTCTCCGGGCGACCAAAGAGCCAATCAGAAAACGGGCGCACCCCAGCCCGCCTTCTGTTCTAAGAAAGTTTACTCCTCCTCCCCCAAGCCCCCCATACGCAAAGTGGTCAAGGCCCGTAGTCTCGGGACTTCATCTCTCGACTGACCAATCCGCGCAGAGACAGCCCGGCCGGCCCTATGGTTTTCTGCAGGATTTCGACTTTTGTAAAGAGCAAGACCAATGACTCCAGCCTAGCGCTGACTGGTAGACCGGCTCCAGCAAGGCTTCCATCCCGTCGGAGTACACCAATCCCGGGAGGAACTGGGTAGCTACGCCGCGAGCCAAAGACGCGTGCCATGTTGGCACATTCCCACGTCTTGCTCACTGCCCGCTGTATGGTGAGATGGCGGTCGGGTGCGTTCGTTGCCGTTGCTAACTCCGTCCCCCAGCCATGCTTGGGAGGCCGGGACCTTGTTGACGATGGACGATTTGGGTCCAAAATAGAGTACATCCACCAAGAATACATGGCAGCCTGTTCCTGAATACAGATTCAAGCAGGCGAGCATCACAGTATATAACAAAGCGCCATATCCCGTGCTCATGATACCTTCTCTTGCATCTCATCTCGCATTCGCATCTTCACAGTTTCCTATCTGCTCTATTTCCTTGTTTCCTAGAGTCTGCCATCTCAGCTGTACATCAACCTAATACAAGTCATCCAATACACACGCAATAATCAAGATGCTCTACACTCAGACCGCCGCCGCCGCCATTCTGGCTTTCGCCTCTTCCGCTCTCGCCGGACCCATCAGCACTCGCGATACCACCCCGGCTCTGAGCTTGACCCAACAGCTGTTCCTCGCTGATACGTGAGTCCTACAATACAATAACATCAAGCCTGAGCATCAAACTAATGAGAACAGCGCCGCCGACCGCTTCAAGCTCCTCCCCGATGACAAGCAGTTCGTCTTTGACTTCAACCAGAAGCAAGCCAACCCCGGAAAGGGTGGTGAGCTCGTCGCTGCCAACCGCAAGACATTCCCCGCCCTCGTCAGCACCGGAGCCGGCATGGTAAGTTCCCCCCGATACTCCCAGATCTTCCAACAACAAAGCTGACGACTCTTGAAGGCTGTCGGACGGGTCAAGCCCTGCGGCATGAACACCCTCCACGTCCACCCCCGATCCGTCGAGCTCCAGATCGTCACCGAGGGCCGTCTCATCACCGAGATGGCGCCCGAGAACGGCGTCCTCGCGGCCGACGGCAAGACCCGCCGCATCATCCGCACCGAGCTCAGCCCCTACATGATGACCCCCTTCTACCAGGGCTCCGTCCACAGCCAGTTCAACCCGGACTGCACCGACGCCATCTTCGTCGCCAGCTTCACCTCGGAGGACTTTGGCACCGGCCAGATCGCCGACGAGACCTTTGCCTTTAGCGACGATCTCATCGCTGCTACCTTTGGCCAGAGCATCGACGGCGAGGATATCGAGATGGTCCGCGCTGCTATTCCTGCCAGCATCGCCCTTGGTGTCGATGCGTGCTTGAAGAAGTGCAACATCAAGAAGCGTGAGATTTAAGGGGGTGACGTGGGACGTGGGATGTATATAACTTGCTACAAACGGGATCGGGATTGTGAGGGCATAGCGAGGGGCATGCATGGCATACTTCATGATGGCATTAGGCGGGAGCGCATCTGATTTGGCTTGGGTCGTGAGCATTGGGCAGGCGTTCTTGGCATTGGGTCATCTTCACTGGTTCTGTTCTTTGTTTGAATACTTTGAAAAATCACATACATGACGTTTGGAAATCTTTAAGAAACATACCATCTCTTTTGCGAATACTGCCACAGCTGTGGCTTCTGTGATTGCTGTTGCCGCCTCTAACACTGCGGCCTCTGTCCTTGTTCCCAACACCCTTTCCAGCCTTGTGTTACTTATAGAGACTGCCTAATTTTCCTGTGCTGGGGCGACTACTTTTCCTCCGGGTTCATATGTACTATATAGAGCAAGTATTGATGTCGTCGTCGTCGTCGTCGTCGCTATCGTTATCGTCCGTTATTATTGTCCGTCGCTATTGTTAATTCTATCCGCTTTACTCCTACCATCCTCAGTCGGAGGAACCCGATACACAGAAAATACAGTTTCTTTAGCACAGGGAAAATAGACGGCCTCTACTTATGACCTATATCCTAAAGCTTACTTGACTTACAAAGTTGGAGCCCCGGTAACAAAAGGCAGCAGGCAAATTCATTGCTGTGTACTGTGCATGAATCAAAGTCTGAGCACCAGTGCTTTCGCTTTGATATTGCAAAAGGAAAACTGCGGTCTTCTTGAAAAGTTAATGTCTTTCAGATAAGCCCAGGAGGAGAAGAGGAACCAAAAGTCTTCATAGCTTCGTGGTTCCCGTCATGTAAGTCAGACGCATTCCTCGGCTGGCCCAGAATGGGTCTACGCGTGCCACCAGATGAACGAGAGGCAACGTGATCTAACAACAAGACGCTCTCATTGGGTCATGGGCGATAACGTCGATGGAGCAGAAGCAAACATCGCGGCCCCCGGATCTCAAACCTAGTTGCTATTACACAACTTGCCCCCAGAAGAATAGTCGATGAATAGAGATGAAGCCTCAAGAAAAGAAATCGCACATGCTCAACACGAGATTAGCAACTCAAGACACAGAAAGCTTGTGTTCAACCAGGCTCCACACGTCCAATCTCTCCGGTAGCGTTCCTGCCTTCTGCCAGAGATGCCGTCCCAACAATTCTCTATGTATCCCTTGAAATAGTCGGCTTCTCCACGCGCAAATGGGTGCAATTGTGTTTTGCCCGGTCTCTCCAGGTTTCTCTCGAGGGAAACAGCACTAACCTGACTTGGTCATCACAGCATTTTTGCTTACATCTCGAATCTGACAGAATGACACAAGCCACCAAGGCCATGGAAGGCCAGTACTGAACGTGTATGCATGGGTGGACGCTCATCGTGAATGGGATGTAGCGAAGCCACAATGACGCATGCCAAGGTCGTTCCAGCGGCAGGAAATGAATGTGTGGCCTAGCGGCGTCTGTTGCTAGCAGTATTCACTTGGTCTTCTGCGCCAATATCGCGGACAGGGACGGCAGCCCGATGCTCAACAGTCTCCTCGCAACGTTTCCTAGATTTTTGTCACAATTACCGTGAAGATGCTTTCATGAATCCACAGTATATGGCAGCTTGGAGAAGTTCACCTAGATGCAGACCTTGATCGAAGGCCTCAGGAGCCAGATGAGCCTCCTTCCATCCAGCGGACCCTTAGCGAAGCTGAAGTTATCCATTATCTACACGGAGCCGAAACTACAGCATCTAGGTGACAAGCGTTGTTGGCCGTACGATGACCGCAAGCTCAGAAATATTCTCTACGTCACAAAGTATGTCAAATCAAGACTGATCAGTTGGTGCTTGGCGCGGGGACGCGATGCCCCAGTCTCATTTAAGAGAGCGAGGATTAAGGCGGGCATGGCGTGACCTAGCCTGTTCGCGGCCCTTCGGAAGACCTAGCGCCTCAAGAATTGTCATCAGAAACTGCAAATGATCATCCATCAGTAATTGCGCTGTCAGCCTTGTGCGGGCTATTGGAAAATCCTTCCAGTCGAACAGAAGACCGTTGAGGACGTCGACTCTGGAACGCCAACCATTGGCATGTCGCAATCTGGAGACTGGGACAGCTACACAGACGATGCCCACGATTTGAGTATGCGAGCATGGGAGATTCAAATCGCGGGCGCGTCTAAAGGGTCTGGCGTGGAGGTTTGGCTAGGCCGACTCGGGCACAGCTCGCTGGAGCGCAATTTCCTGCTCTGGCGATGGTGGCATCTGGCACCCCGGATCTCTCGCACGGCCAGCAAAGATGATAGATCGCATCCGCTTGCTGGCTGACAGTTGCTCCGGCGTTGGCTCGTTCACCTTGCCCGAGTCAACGAGACCGGGGCTGGAGAATCGTCGGAGAGAAAGAAAGCTCGGTCGCTTTCCTGGGCAAACGGCACGTGGGTTCTCACCAGTTGAGGGTCCTGGGACATGAGGCTCATGCAACATGTCCACTTGCCAGGATGGTCGGAACGCCCTTGCGAAGATGTGCAGTTGTGCTCGACAAGGCTCTCGCAAAGGGAAGCAAGCCCGAGGATTTTGAGGGGGAACCCGGATAGTTAAGGAGGCAAGCCGCAGGCGAAGTTGAAAAGGGTAAGAGCGTTTCGGTCTGTGGTTCAAGCCTGGAGGCGAGCGGTGCAGGGCCGACTCGACGTTGGAGTAAGGAAGTTAGGCGTTGGCTTTGGCTGTTGGGGGCTTGAATCTTGATAGGAGAATCGGTCCACGGAAGGGGAGGAGGCGTCGTTTAGGCCTCGGCATGGTGGGGCATGTTCCAGATATCGTGAGCTGCGCTTCCAGAAGGAGAAGGCAAGACCGCTGGATCATGGCGTCGGTGTTGAAGAAGGCGTTGCTCCGCATTCCGCACTTTTGCATTCCAGCACGGCGAGAAATTCGGTCCAGGAGAAGAGTGCCAGATTCATGCAACCCTGCGAGGGAGGCGACCCATTCGTCGCACTATCGTGTGTTTTGGTGGTCAATTCAGGAGGTCGCAGCGACAACGGGACGGAGTGTGGGAGTCTGTAGTCGGGGTCGTGGTGCTCAGGGGAGAGCGAAAATTTCGTCGAAAAGCGGCAAAGCTGAGCCTGTCGGCCGAGTCGACTGCGACATTGTTTGCTCAAGTCGCACGTGGAATTAAGCTTGATGGATAAGATTGGATGACAGGTTCGCGTGTGACATTGCGACCGGCGCTTCTCATCAACTCTTTGAATGGGCGACTGCCAATTTGTCACTCGTCTGCACGCTTTCTCTCTCGATCGAGGACGGCGCGGAGAGGCTCATCTGGAGGATTGCCCAATGTGGAAACGTCCCCTCGCCGGTCGACCAGCCGGCGCCTCCTGCCCCCTGGCCGTGTGTGTGCGCTTGCCTGCTGTCGGGTCTGGAGTTGTAACTTGTCAGTCGCGCGCTGGTCAAACTCAATGGGCGCCGCGTTCAGCCATTTTCCAACGGCAAGGGCAACCGCGACACCATTGGGAGGTGCTTGGCCAATGAGAAGCGGTACCTGCGTCAATTTATGCATGACCTCACAGGTAATGTGCGGAAATGCAGCACTTATGCAGGAACTGAGCAACGGTGGAGGTCAACACTAAGAACCGACCAACCGTCAGCCTCCCCGTTGGGCTGGGCCTGTGCTTCTCATTTCGTTTGGCCCCAGACGTCTTAATCGCGCGCTGCCTCCCATTGGCTCCTGCGCTGAACAAGTCAAGCTTTGCCGAGATGACGGCCGAGTCTGATTGGCGAGTGCACCCAAACTCCAGCACCCCCGTCATTTTCATTTCCCCCCGGGCCTCGCATCCTTGAACATCGCAAGGCCTAGTCCGCTCCAGTTCGTCCATCGTCGGCCAAGCCAGTGCAAGCCTCTGCCTCACCCCGGCCATCACCACCGCCCAATGTCGCCATGACCAGCCGGAATCCTTGGGCGCGCCCCTCAATGCCCTGGTCAAACCAGTGGCTCTCTCGCAGCCCTCTCTCCTCTTGCGGCCAACAGGGGGCAGATCGCGCAAGGATCTTTGGACTGGCTTTTCGCAAATGCCTGTCAACGGCCTGCTGCACCGCACCAATCGCCCCGGGCACACTCGAGCACGATTCCCGCCCCAGATGATTGTTGCTCGTTCATTTCATCGTCGGCCCATCCTGCCACCTCCACCCTCGCGAGTTCTCCTCTTCCCTTCTCTTGTCCTTGCACCGCATCCTTACGCCTTGCCCAGTCTCCGTTTTGAGACGTTCCGCTCTTTTCACCGACATTCGCTTGAACCTTTTCGCTTTTTTTCCGACTCACGCTCGTTACCGAATCAACACGCGCGCGCCGCCGCTGCTCACTACGCCTTGCCTCCATGTTATAGCATTGAGTCCGGACAACTACTCAACAAACCGCCGCTGTTCACAACTTCACGCGACGCACGCCCTGCTGGACCGAGACTTGGCTCTTTGAATTGTTGGAGGACTTCACGACCACTCGCGACGAGACCCCGCTTCCGAGATGAAGCTCACTACGATTCAGGCCGCCGTTGGCTCGGCCATTGTGTTGCTGTCCGCTCAGCCGGCCATCGCCCACGACTCTTCCCATCGCCATCTTCACAAGGCGCGGCCCGCCGTTAGCCCTGCTGAAAACGTCGAGCAGCTTGTTGAGAGGGAAGTCATCAAGAGGACCTCCGACGGCAAGGCCATCTGCAGCCTTCCCAGCGACTCTAGCTTGGTCAAGGTTCCCGGCGCTCAGAACAATGGCTTTGCCATGAGTCCCGACCAAGTCTGCACCGAAGGATCCTACTGCCCTATCGCTTGCAAGCCTGGCATGGTCATGGCACAATGGGACCCGAAGTCGTCCTACACTTACCCTTCCTCCATGGTGAGACTGTCTCGGGTATTCTTACTAAGTTCCAGTCGCTGACCAACACAGAACGGCGGTCTTTACTGCGGTTCCGATGGAAAGGCCACCAAGCCGATCAAGGACGCTCCTTACTGCGTTGAAGGTGCCGGCAGTGTTGAGGTCTACAACAAGTGCGGCAAGACCTTGTCCTTCTGCCAGACCGTCCTGCCTGGTAACGAGGCCATGCTTATCCCCAGCGTCATTGACAAGTCTATCACTCTGGCTGTTCCCGACCCCAGCTACTGGTGCAGTACCGCTGCTCAGTAAGTGACCTTTGATTGTCGCGAAAAGAGTCTCTTTACTAACTTTAATAGCTACTACATCAACCCTCCCGGTGTCACCGATGAGGGCTGCATTTGGGGTGATGAGTCCAAGGCAGTTGGTAACTGGGCTGCTTACGTTGCCGGTGCCAACATGGACAGCCAGGGCCGTACTTTCGTTACTCTCGGCTACAACCCCATCTGGGAGGGCTCCTCGTTGAAGAACACGAAGCCTACCTACGGCGTCAAGATTGAGTGCCCCGATGGTGGCTGCAACGGCGTTCCCTGCGCCATTGATCCCTCTTCCAACGCCATTGGCACGGTTACCAGCAACCAGGTCGGCACCGGCGCTGGCAATGCCAACTACTGCGTTGCCACCGTTCCCAAGGGCCAGAAGGCTCGCATCATTGTATTCCCCCTTGATGGTTCTGGCGGCGATGACTCCTCCTCCGACGACAAGAAGGATGACAAGAAGGACGACAAGGTCGAGATCAAGGTCGCCAAGTCCACGCCCTCGCCGACTCCCACTCCTACCCCCACTCCTACTCCGACCCCGACCCCGACACCGACGCCGTCTTCTTCTGCTGCCCCGACTTCGAGCAGCTCTAGCGCCAAGAAGTCCAGCTCTGCGTCGTCTGCCTCGGCAACCCCGACTCCCACTGTTATCCCTGGTATGTTCCACGAGAACGACACGGACACGACCACTACGTCTTCCAAAGACACCAAGATGACCACCCTTGAGCCCACCGCCGCTTCCACGACTGAAGAGGCGGCCCCCGCGACCACCTCCAAGGAGAACGAAGGCGTCAGACAAGGTGGTGGGGCCATCGCCGGCCTCATCATTGCGTTCGTCGCAGCCACTTTCCTGTACTGATTGTCACTTGACTTCGGTAGCATCTATTCGCTTCGCACCAGCCAGCAGCAGCTCGTTCTTCTCTTCAAAGTCTTTTGCTTGCCGATATGACGCAGCGCCGTCCTTATGCTGCTACTCACCGACCTCGACGTCTCGGACACAGCCCGCTCGGTCGGATATATCTTCACGCTCAAGGGCAAGCACGCTTGCCACGTACCCTTCTCGCTGCTGGCAATTCTTCGCTTCGTCCGTCGCTCACGAACACGCGGCAAATCTTTACATACACGCCGGTAGCAGATGGCGCCTTCATCCTTTGGACGTATTATATCAAATCCCCCGCGATGATTTCGCGGCAGTTTAGTGTTTATTGTTTCAGCAACATCGCGTCTATGGCGCGAGCTGGCGAAGCATTCTTCCGGGTTCAGTCACCTGGCCTCTCTTCGAACGGAGGCATTTACACTTTTGGATCGGCTTGCTTCTCATCTATACCCATTTACGTACGCATTATTTTTTGTTATTTATTATTTGAGGACATGTGGAGGAAGAGGATATGATATGGGAAACATTAGTCATGACATGACGGGGTTGGGGGACCGGAAAATCTTATTCTTCAGGGGGAGACTTTTGTAAGATGACTGGCTTGGGGGGCCAGACGTTGGAGGTGAGATGATGTTGAGGATGGGACACGACGACGCGCGCGCGTGCGCGCGTGTGTGTGTGTGGAATCTACACCGCCTTGGTCCGTTTTTTCGACTCTTTCGTCGGATGGAGGATCCCGGTAGCAAGACCCTGCCTTATGATGGGCAATCAAATGAAAGATTCAGAATCAACTATTTCCGGTCTTGCTTCAAACGGTGCCGTGACTGCTCCCTGTCTCCCAGGCATGTCATATCACCATTGGTCCGTAAAAGTGGTAATATCAACTGGGTATCATTATTCTGCAGCTATCCTATGCCTTCGACACTGTTTCTGTGTCTAACCCTTGACCCAACCTGGAACGTCGTCCAGGTCAACTTCCTCCTCGTACTGTCTCTCCTTGATCGCGGTCCACGGTGCCGGCCACCCCGCCAGCGTCGGACTCTTCTTCGTGGCACCCATGACTGCAAACCGTCCCTGCGAATGCGCAATGTACCCATGCATGAAGCCCAACTGGATCAGAGTCGCAACATTCATCTCGACGTCGTCCATTTCAACGGGGCTGTTCCCCCACACCAGCCCCTCGTTCGGCCGCAGCTTCTTCGGTCCCCCGGGCGGCGGGACGAGAGTCGACGACGCGTCGTGGGAGACGGCCTTCATAAACGCCGGCGTGGCGTTGGAGGGGCGCTGGTGCTTGGAGGGGATATAGCCTTCTAGCCTGCGCTGAAGGTACGTCGCCGTGGTGTGCAGGTCCGCGAGGTCCAGTGTTGCCGCCCGGCGGGAGGGTGCTGCCGCCGCGTTAGGGTTCGTGTCGTCGGGTCCTGGGGCGTATGTGAGGAGGAAGGTCTTGCGCGCGAGGGAGCGCCACAGGAGGGGACGGAGGCGGTGTGTGAGCACCAGCAGCAGGCCCTTGTCGAACAGCCACTTCTCGTGGATGGCGAGCGCGTTTTGGAAGAGGACGAAGTCGCCTCTGCGGATCGCCTGGGACAGCGGATGGAAGATCGGGGCGAGGGTGGCGGACTCTGGGCGTGAGAGGAGAACCTTGGAGGGCAGGCGACCGAGGAGGAGGTTGCAGGGGACGAGGTAGCTGAGCACCAGGCAGCGGTGTGATGTCAACGCGGGCGGGATTTGGAGGTAGGCCTCTTCGAGGCAGAGAGCTGCGCGGACAAAGTGGCAGTTTGCGAGGTTGAAGCGGCCGAGGTAGTAGAGGAAGGTGACGCGCTGGGCTGCCGGATAGAGGGACAGAGGGGGCGAGTTTGTGGAGATGTTTGTAAAGATTTGCTTTGCAAGGTGAGTTCTCCGGCACTGTATATCGTTAGAATCTGGTCACCGGCGATATGTAGAAGCTGGGCTTACGGCAAAGAGGAGTTTGAGCACGAGGTTGGCGAACATGTACACGCCAACCTTCTTCCCCTCGGGCTTGCTGTAACGGGTACTGGAACGGTCTGTCAGGCAGGTGGTGAAGATCTTTTGGATGATCTCAGCCGACGTCTCGGCGATGGACTTGCGGTCGTCTGCGTCGACGTTGCGGATTTGACGGGTTAGGTCGGGACGCTTGCTGAGCATCATGGTGAGGCGCGATAGGGACTCGCACAGTGACATTGCCGTTTTGAGGAGCATGCCGCCATAGGTTGGGTGGGCGAAGGCGGTGCTGCAGGAGCTGGTTGAACGTGTCAATGACTACCCTCAATGCAAGCTGGACACACACTCACTTGACCAGCCCGCTCAGCAGGGTATGAGCGCCGAGCAGATCGTCGTAGTCGACATCGCGCCAGAAGAGCATATAATCCTTCATGAACGTGATGAAGCCCGGCCACGGCGAGCCCTGGCCTTCCGGCACGTCGTCCTCTTCCGGTAGGCATTTTTCAATCGTGTCTTCGAGTCCGCTTCCCGAACGAAACTGGTTGCGCAGCTCGGCCGCGAGTTGGTGATACTGTTGATGCGCGTTCGGCTCAACCTGGAGCCAATTGCGGAGTTCGTCGCTGTTTTGGGCGCGCACAAATGTGCGAATCTGAGTAAGGAATTGTACTAGAAGCGCCATGGTGGTGCCGCCCGTGTTGAGATGCTGGAAGTGGGATGAATGGGGAGATGCTGGACGGTGAGGAAGCGAATATGAGCTTGGGGCATGCGATGAGAGCTCGTCGGTGGTCAAGGTAAGGTGTGAGGTGGGTTCTTCGGTGAGCGGGAGCAGGGATGTGGCGGTCGGTGAGAGAGACTGGCGTTGCCCCGCCAGGATGGTACCGCGTCTACATCCAGAGCATCTTCACCTCATCACTTTCTATGCAGTCTTTCAAATTGTCTCACAGATTACCAATGCCTTCATGATAGGAAATATTTATGCTTTTTGATATGTGGCTTTTCATGTACAAGTGTACGCCGCCCAACATCTTGCGCCTAGATCTGTCCTTATCGCCGCGTCTGAGCGGCTCGCAACCTAAGAATCACACGAACTGAGCTAAACCTGCAGCCTCCCTTTTGAAACCGAGCTGCACGTAGCCGGAGCTAGAAGACGACGTCCGATCTACATTGATTTACACAGACTCGACACGCTGCACCACCAGCGCAGTGGCTGCACCTCCTCCGTTGCAGATGGCAGCCACACCGTATTCACCGGGCTTCAGCTGGTGCAGCAGTGTTACGAGAATTCTCGACCCGGAGCTTCCGAGAGCGTGGCCGAGAGAAATGGCTCCTCCAAGGGGATTCACACGCGCACCCTCAAGGCCGAGGATCTAATCGACAGTCAGCGGAAATCAAGTGGCTTGCAAGTCAATAAGCTTACCTTCTCATTGGCCTTGATGACAGCGGCGAAGGCCTCGTTAAATTCCCAGACAGCCACCTGGTCCTTGGTAATTCCGGCTCTCTCCAGCGCAATCGGAACGGCCTTGGCCGGGGCAATTGGAAAATCAACGGGGTCGACAGCAGCATCGGCCGAACCGCAAATCTTGGCCAGAACCCGGGAGCCTGATCCGTACTTTTGAGCAATTTCTTTGCTTCCCAGAACCAGCGCGCTGGCACCGTCGTTCAGAGTGGACGAGTTGGCGGCAGTGACGGTTCCTGTGCCGTCACGGACGAAGGCGGGCTTCAGAGTGGGGACCCTGTCGAACTTGACATCGAGGTATCCCTCGTCCGTCTCGATGACGGTATCGCCCTTCTTTCCGGGAACGGTGACGGGCGCAATCTCTTCGGCGAAGGCGTTCGCCTTCCACGCGGCCTGGGCGCGCTTGTAGGACTCAATAGCATACTGGTCCTGAATTTCACGGGTGATCTCGTACTTCTTGGCGGTGTTCTCAGCGCAGTTGCCCATGTGGAATTGGTCGTAGACGTCGGTAAGACCATCCTTGATCAAACCGTCCTCCATCTTGACGTGCCCGAAAGGCGGCAAACTCGAGGAGCGGGGGACATAGTATGGCACTCTGGTCATGTTCTCCATGCCTCCGGCAATCTGGGCCTCTGCCAGACCCAATTGGATGTTCTGCGCGGCAAAGACAACCGCCTTCAAGCCTGAAGCGCACACCTTGTTGATGGTAATGGCCTCAACGCTTGACGGGAGACCGGCAAAGATCAAAGCCTGGCGAGCCGGCGCCTGTCCGACTGATCCTTGCAGCACGTTTCCCATGTATACGTCGGAGATTTTGTCGACAGGGACCTTTGACTTTTCGAGGGCAGACTTAATGGCGACAGCGCCGAGCTTCGGCGCGGAGACGCTCGTGTATGATCCATTGAACTTGTCGATACATCAGCCGACGGTCTCAACTTGTACACTTACAGGGGTTTCTACCTTTGCCGTTGGCGTTCTCGAACCACTGAGAATGTATGCATCGCGAATCTCTTGCCTCAATGCCGCTCTCGTTGAGAACAGGCGAGTCGCAGAGGCCTGCTTTGCGAATAGGCTCGGAAGCCTGGAGGATTGTCTTGAATACATGGTGACACGGTGACAGGCAGGCTAAAGAAGGATTGACAAGGACGGCGGGCTTTGAGACGATCCAACGGCAACAGAAATAGATGGGATGGCTGCAGCTATTTTACAGAGGGATGGAAGACGGCGAACATGTGGAAAGGCGCGGGCGGCAATAGCTTACCCGAACTGTTCCCTCCCGCCTCTGCCTGCCTTACCCCAGGTATGCTGCGGGCTTCCTCGGCTTAAGGAGGGGGAAGTGCACGGGCGGGGCCGAGCTTCTCATGACCTCACCCCCCTCAGTGTGAACCCCAGGGTCGGCAAGCCGAGTCCCCCACCCCGGACCGTGAAAATATGGAGGTTGCACTTGCAGTTCGCTGGCTGCCGTCACTTTTTTTCTGCAGTGGTTCCGCGGCTGCATCCCAAGTGCTCCAGCTTCCTTGCTTCCCCGGAACGGCGGAACATGGCGGCATGTGCCTGTCGATTCCGATATCGTCGCGATCATCGTGTACGAGTGTAAATCACCGGCCATGAACCCGACACCGCGGCTCCGTAAATATGCAGGCGTAGGGTTCAGTAATCAGACGTGCGCATTGCCAATAGATCAGCCTGGATTATCTGTATTGTAATTATCGACGCCGTTTGTCAGCCATGCTTTGTCACCTCTCGCCTGTGTAGGGCGCATCATCAGAAGCCAAAGAGCAAATGAGGCGTCTCGAGACCTGCAGAGTGTCACTGCTTCAGTGTCCCAATGGCTCGAGTCGTGTGCTGCGCCTGGACCCGGGGTCCACTCGGCGTTGGTTTGGTCTCGTCTGATTCGCGTTTAATCTCCCCAGCACTGATTGGCCACAATCCAGAGACCCACTGATTGCGCCTAAGCGGCAGGCGGTGGTGACTGCTTCCCGCGCCATCCTCTCGGACTTGTGAATTCAATGTTCCACGCCCTTCCTTTACCACCTCCACGGCCCTTTCAAGAATCGTCGGAATCGCTTCGTTCCAACAATCACCAGAGTATTTCGGAATAGGCCATCAGCTCTTGGGCCTTGTGTGCATTTCCGAACCATAGCTTCCGCGATAGCTCTTGTCTCCTACCCCTCAGTCCCGGCAATCAGTCACCGACCGCCACCGACCGCCACCATGTCTACTGCTGCCCGACGTCGTTTGATGCGTGACTTCAAGGTAATTTCTATCGCTGGATTTTTCTTCGATGAAACATCACCACTGACAGCATGGATGACAGCGCATGCAAACTGACCCTCCCGCGGGTGTCTCTGCCTCTCCCGTCCCCGATAACGTTATGACTTGGTGCGCCAGACCATCTACGGGCCGACCGGCTTTCCCACATGTGACTTACAGAAGCTCTCCAGGAATGCCGTTATCATCGGACCTGCCGATACGCCCTTCGAGGACGGAACCTTCAGACTCGTCATGCAGTTCGAGGAGCAATACCCCAACAAGCCGCCCGCCGTCAAGTTTATCAGCCAGATGTTCCATCCCAACGTCTACGCCACCGGGGAGCTCTGCTTGGATATCTTGCAAAACAGATGGAGCCCTACATATGACGTCGCAGCGGTGTTGACGAGCATCCAGAGGTAAGGCGGCGTTTGCATCGGACAGGAGCTGCGTAGGCTAACCATCGCCAGTCTGCTTAATGACCCAAACACCGGATCGCCAGCGAACGTCGAGGCCTCCAACTTGTACAAGGACAACCGTAAGGAGTACACCAAGAGGGTGAGGGAGACGGTTGAGAAGAGCTGGGAGGACTAAATTGCAATGATACCACAACAAAACACATACGACTGTCATGAACAACATTCATAGCCTCGCAGGAGCAGGGTACGCCCATGAGGGATAGCAGGAGGGCTGCGTCTGGGACGCTGGAGGACAAACAGAAGCACAGCCGTCAAGGTTCTGACCTCACAGTGTTGTGGCACTAACACGGCGAGGGCCGGAGCTGACCAGACACATTCCTTGGTTTTGCTCGCATTAAGCAGCTGGGGCATCCGATGAGGTGGGAGTGGGGGGTTTGGCGTTTCGGCTCGTGCTGTCCTCTCTGAATGGCTTTTGGGGCGGCCCCATGTTGCGGTTGGCGTTTCGCGGTCGTGCTTCTCTTGGGTGACGTTCGTCCTCAGCTGGCTTTACAGGGGAGTTCGCAGGAAACGCATTTGGGTAGCGAAATACCAAATCTATTGTCCATGATGCGGCCCGACGTTTGTTTATTATGGCTGTGATTAACCACTACGAAAGCGGAGCAACCCACCCCAAACACACAAGGAGTCAACCGTGCAAAAGGCGCCAACTTTCATCTCGAACCTGTCGCGTGCCTGGCTTTGGTCCCTAGTGCGCAATGCGCCAGGCCGTCTGTTGTGTGCGATGAGCACCTAGGTAGGTGGTATTCTGGGAAACAATCCCGCGGACGACCGTGGGTGTGTTCACGGCCAGTGGGATGTCGTTGTGTGCGCTGTACTTTCAGCGGACGGACAGGGAAATAGGGGATTAGATCGCTCTGGGACGGACCCTTCGGCTGTGCTCGTTGGTGAGGTGGGGATGAAACCACCAGTGAGGATGAAATACTGCAGTGCGAGTGTGTTTTTCTTTGACCGCGCCGATGCCCAGCGACTGGCTGTGGTGGGGGGCTAATGAGAGGGGACACCAGGAGGGAGCTGGCTGAGTTGAGCCTGTGAATGTGTACCTTTTGTGTTGTTTTTGCCGGGCAGGTACCTTCTCCCAGGTTACCCCCTCCTCTTTCCTCGAAGGCTCCGTACCTCGCTCTGTGAGACCACACTGGACTGCAGCGAGCGACCCATCCCGTTCTCAGTACTGTGACTCTGACTGTCTTGCTGCAATCAAATATTCCACGCGAATTCTAGCGCGTCCCGTCATTTGCATCCCAACCCCAAAAACTCCCAAACAATCCCAATCTCCTTCCCTTCTCCCCTTCTGCCCCTCGACCGACTGCCTGGCTGGCTGCAAATTGCTGCTGGTTTGTGCTGCCGATACCCTTTTTCTTTTGCTTATCGCCTTGCAGAAAAAAAAATACCTGCGATATGTCATTCTAGCAGATTATCCCATATTCTGCACACCGTCATTTCATCCCCGCCTTGTTTGTGTGGCCTTTCAACACACGCCCCCGTTGCCGTGCTGCGACCGCCTCGTGCCTCGCAACCCGCAACCTTAACCCCCCTATACCGCAACACCACGCCGATCGGGATCCATGACCTTGGCTGCGACGCCTCTTGGTCTGCAATACCGTCACGATGTCTAGCGCAAACAGCATCAAGGTGGTGGCCCGATTCCGTCCCCAGAACAAGGTTGAACTGGAGTCGGGCGGCCAGCCCATCGTCGCCTTCAATGGCGAGGATACTTGTACCCTCGACGTAAGTATCAACACTCCGGGCCCGACTTCCTGTGGCGCGCATGCATGCGGGCACCCGACTAACGGTATGTCTCGCAGTCCAAGGAGGCGCAGGGCTCTTTTACCTTCGACCGAGTCTTCGACATGAACTGCAAGCAAGCCGACATTTTCGACTTCTCCGTACGCTCTACTGTCGACGACATCCTCAACGGTTACAATGGAACCGTCTTCGCCTATGGCCAGACCGGTGCCGGAAAGTCCTACACCATGATGGGCTCCAGCATCGAGGACGAGAACGGCCGCGGTGTTATCCCCCGCATCGTCGAGCAGATCTTCACCAGCATCATGTCCAGCCCCAGCACCATCGAGTACACCGTCCGAGTCAGCTACATGGAAATTTACATGGAGAGGATTCGCGACTTGCTGGCTCCGCAGAACGACAACCTTCCCGTCCACGAAGAGAAGAACCGCGGTGTCTACGTCAAGGGTCTCTTGGAGGTCTACGTTTCCAGTGTTCAGGAGGTCTTCGAGGTCATGAGAAGAGGTGGAAACGCCCGTGCCGTCGCCGCCACCAACATGAACCAGGAGTCTTCCCGTTCGCACTCCATCTTCGTCATCACCATTACCCAGAAGAACGTCGAGACCGGCTCGGCGAAGAGCGGTCAGCTGTTCTTGGTTGATTTGGCTGGTAGCGAAAAGGTCGGAAAGACGGGTGCCAGTGGCCAAACGTTGGAGGAAGCCAAGAAGATCAACAAGAGTTTGAGTGCTCTGGGAATGGTCATCAACGCCCTGACCGATGGCCGATCGTCTCACGTTCCTTACCGCGACTCCAAGTTGACCCGTATCCTGCAAGAGTCCCTCGGAGGTAACAGTCGAACAACCCTCATTATCAACTGCTCTCCCAGTAGTTACAACGACGCCGAAACTCTCAGCACACTTCGATTCGGTACTCGTGCGAAGGCGATCAAGAACAAGGCCAAGGTCAACGCAGAGCTCAGTCCCGCCGAGCTCAAGGCGCTGCTCGGAAAGGCCCGCGGCCAGATTTCTACCTTCGAGGGCTACATTACAAATCTGGAGGGCGAGGTTCAGCTGTGGCGTGCTGGAGAGACTGTGCCGAAAGACAAGTGGGTGCCGCCTATTTCCGCAGATGGCGTTGCCGGGGCCAAGGCGGAAGCTAAGGCAGCCCGTCCATCAACACCGTCCCGCCTGCTTCCTGACAGCAGAGCCGAGACGCCAGCCGTCTCTGAGCGCTCCGGAACACCAGGGCCTCCCCTCGACAAGGACGAGCGAGACGAGTTCCTGCGCCGCGAGAACGAGCTCCAGGACCAGCTTGCGGAGAAGGAGTCCCAGTTTACGACGACCGATAAGGCTCTCCGCGAGACCAAGGAGGAGCTTACCTACCTCAAGGAGCACGATGCCAAGACTGGTAAGGAGAACGAGAAGCTCCACGCCGAAGTCAACGAGGTGAAGATGCAGCTCGAGCGTCTACACTTCGAGGGCAAGGAGGCACAGATCACCATGGACGCTCTGAAGGAGCAGAACGCCGAGCTGACTACGGAGCTCGATGAGGTCAAGCAGCAGCTCCTCGACGTGAAGATGAGTGCCAAGGAGACCAGCGCGGTCCTCGATGAGAAGGAGAAGAAGAAGGCTGAGAAGATGGCCAAGATGATGGCCGGCTTCGACCTCGGCGCCGATGTGTTCAGCGACAACGAGAAGGCCATTACGGAGGCCATCGCTCAGCTGGACGCCCTGCATGAGGTCAGCGCGACTGGCGAGATCGTCAACCCTGACGAGCTTAAGGCGCTCAAGTCCCGATTCGTCGAGATTCAAGGAATCGTCCGTCAAGCCGAGCTTTCCGTGTACAGCGCTTCCTCGAGCGAGGCGGACGCCCGTCGTCGTGCCGAGCTTGAGGATCGCCTCCAGACCCTCCAGCAGGAGTATGAGGAGCTTCTCACCCGTAACCTGGGAGATACCGATGTTGAGGAGATCAAGGCCCGCTTGGAGAGCGCCTATGCCGACAAGCAGACCACCTCCATGCAGCTGGTCGACGAGCTCAAGGCCGAGATTGCCCAGAAGGCCGCTGAGAACTCCAAGATGAAGGCTCTCATTGAGGATCTCCAGCAGAGAGTCAAGGCCGGCACTGCTGCGCCCACGACCAACGGCAAGTCCATTCAGCAGCAGATTGCCGAATTCGACATCATGAAGAAGAGCCTCATGCGCGATCTTCAGAACCGCTGCGAGCGCGTTGTCGAGCTTGAGATCTCGCTTGATGAGACGAGAGAGCAATATAACAATGTGCTCCGGTCATCCAACAACCGGGCCCAGCAGAAGAAGATGGCCTTCCTCGAGAGGAACCTGGAGCAGCTCACCCAGGTCCAGCGCCAGCTGGTCGAACAGAACTCGGCACTCAAGAAGGAGGTCGCCATCGCTGAGCGTAAGCTGATTGCCCGCAACGAGCGCATCCAGAGCCTCGAGAGCCTGCTACAGGATAGCCAGGAGAAGATGGCTTCGGCCAACCACAAGTATGAAACCCCAGCGACCCCTGTCCCTTCTTTTAGTATCCCAACCCCAGTCAAACCTCCCGTGAACAAACTAGGGAGAATCCCACACGTTTCCTTTTCCATCCTTAATTCATGTCTCAATTCTAACGACTGGTGTCTTGTAGATTTGAAGTACAGCTCGCTGCCGTCAAGGAAAGGTTGGAGGCTGCCAAGGCTGGCAGCACTCGTGGCCTGAACTCGCCCTCTATCGGAGGATTTAGCTTCTCGGGCGCAGGCAGCCGCATTGCCAAGCCCCTCCGCGGTGGTGGTGGTGACAACCAGGGACCTTCCATCCCCGTCATCTCCAGCATCCAGCAGAATGAGGGCGGCTCTAGCAAGCGCAGCAGCTGGTTCTTCTCCCAGAAGTCCTAAGAACGTCTCGTAGCTCACTAACCCTCGACGCCCATCTTCCGAAACGTCAAAGGGTGTGCGCACCCATAGAAACGACAAAGTATGTGATTAGACAACAGCTCGGCGCGGACTAGACCGCTATACCCCCGCTGTGTTGATCTGGCGGCGGCTGTTCTTTCATACTCTTTTCCTGCTGCTCTGCCTCGCAAATTCAATTTTCTTTGGTCATTATACTGGAAGAGAAGTTGATTAGACGGCAAGTTTCACAGACATGGGCCACATGATTAGTAAGGGAGGTGTTGTTCTTCTTCCACGGATCGGATCGGTTCACGCAGTTGGATTTTGCTCGAGACAAGCAGTTCTGGGAGGCCTTTGTCTTTTTTGTTTTAGTCGCAGGTGTTAAGGCAAGAGCGGATATACACGAGTATACGACAAAGGCTCTTGAGGTGTGTGGGTGTGGAGAGGAAGAAAGAGACAAAGGCTGGGTGGGAATGAGCAGAGGATGATGGATAACGAGAAGACGGCCAAAACGGCGTGTGTGCCGCTGCTGCATAGTTATGAGGGAGTTGTTGCCATGACACGACGGACCTCACTTACGAACCCAAAGAAATTTGACGGCTAATGACACTAGATACTCAACTCTGGTTTACCCTGACTGATCATTGTAATTTCAATTTCTATGTGAAGTGCTATGAAAAATACTACCCCAGACTCAGCTGAGTGGGGAGGGTATTGCGGGAGTGGTGTGCCTGTGCACAAGCATCCAGATGATGCCAATAAGCAAGCAGTAGTAACCCATCTGTTCCCCGGTGCGAATGTCCTGCTTCCTGAGCAAAAGTACAAGTACACAGAAAATGCTGGCGCGGAGTTGCCAAGAATTTGTTTGAGTCTATCCGCAGCTTGAGTTCCAAGTTGTCGAGTCATGACAACCTAGAGCCGCGGGGTGACCAAATCGCCGGCTGGCCGCAGCTTAGTGCTTGGAAGCCTTCATCATGAGAATAACCTCAGGCACAACGATGGCCGCCATCACAAGGAAGGTCACGATGCAGACGGCGAAGATCTTGACGTAGAGGATGACAAGGCGCTTCCAGGCAGCGCGCGAGTAGGTGGCCCAGGCGACGGCCATGGTGGCATAGCCCTTGCCGCCGACGACGCGGGGCTCGACCTTGCCCTCGAAGGAGCGGTCGAAGGGGATGACGGTGTCGGCCTCCTCAGGGAGCAGCGAAGCCTGGACACGGACGAGGACGACCTCGGCGGGGATGACGACCAGAACGTGGAACGCGAGGCTGATGAGCGTGATGACGACGCTCTTCCAGGCGTCGCTGGGGCTGCCCTCGGTGCCGGGGACGGTGGTCGTGGGGGCGCCGAAGCGGAAGTTGGGGAGGTCGAGGCCGAGAGCCCAGCCGACGGCGATGGGGACCCAGGTGGCGACCAGGGAGGCGAGCCAGAAGGCGGCGACGGGGCGGGCGGTGGCTTCGAAGGTGCGCTTGAAGGGAGGGAGGCGAGACCAGAAGTGCAGAGGGGACTGGGGAGTGATGACGATGTGGACCCAAGCGGTGCTGAGCTGGACGAGCGACAGGGCGGCGAGGAGGGTCGCGACGGAGGCGAGGATGTTGGGGAGGAAGGCGGAGAAGATGCCGTAGAGGGCGCCAGTGGCCAGAGCCTGGGCAACCATGCAGAAGAAGCCGCGGAAGTTTGCGCGCCAGCCGCCGTTGGCCATCAGGAGGCGGTTGATGGAGCGGAGGGAGGAGGTGACGGTGGTGGGGCGGCCGCCGGTGACCTTGGACGGGATGGGGCCGACGCCGGGAACATCGGCGGCTTCGTCCTCGTTGAGGTTAACCGGGTCGTAAGCCGGGGGGTTCTCATCCTCGACGATGGTGAAGATGGGGTAGACCTGCTGGAGGGTGTAGGTCAACTGCGAAGGTGTTAGTCCTGTGAGCCTGTTTGCTTTTTTCGCGAAGGGAAGCTTACAAGGAGAAGGACGGGAAGGAAGACAATGAAGTCAGCGAGGAAGACTGCAACAGACCACGGGGGCAGATCGTTTGGCTGCTGGCCCTCGGTGGCGCGTTTGTACACTGCGCTGGCGAAGTGGTGCATCATCTTGGCGGTTTATCTGACGATCAAATAAACCAAGTTTTGCGGTAAAGGGGTTGACGATGGTGTCTAATTGTGATGATGAAGGAAAGAGAGAAGAAACAAACGACAGGGCAGGCGAGAGGGGTGTCCGACGTCAAAAGTCGAAGCAGGTTGGGGGCGCTGGGATTCGGTTTATTAAATCCATGGACCAGTGCCACTGCGCTGCTTCAGAGAGAAAGTCTATGAGTGGTCGGTGCCCGGTGTGGTATGTGTTCCCCCCTTCACCCCCTACAACGACCTCACCTCGATTAGTGCCGTAGCGGGCAGTTTTAGCAGGCAGCAGGCTGACACAGCCACGCCGTGCCCCCCGCCGACAGATCCTTTCGCCTCCAAACGCCCAGCGAAGCCGCGCAGACGGCCTTCCGATGTCGTGTCCAGGTCGATTTGACTAGGCAGACTTAGGCAGGGCTGCTGGGATGACTCCCATCCATGTCTGTTTCCTGCGTTGGAGGCGGCCATGGCATCAGTCTAGCTAGCCGCTGGACAAATGGACTCGCGACATCGAGAACGCGGACGGCCGTTCAAGTTGATTTATTGGCGAGGCTCTGTGGCCAGTTGGCCTGGAGGCGTTTTGCTGTGTACGTACAGCATCGTGAATACGGGTGCTTGTAGCAAGGCGGGACTGTTCACGTCGTCTGAAATCTGGATGAAACCTCGCACTCTGAGTTTTTACTGTGTTCGAGTAAGTCCCGTCTCGGAGGCCTTCTCGACCAACCCTCCTCGTCCGGCATTGTTGGGATCAATTATTGATAGAAACAAGTCGGAAACACTGTTTCGTCCGAGATATTGGACGCCCTACATTGCCTGACCCGACGTTCATCATGCCCGCCGTTCAGCTCGCCCTATTATTGCCAGCTGGAATGGGGAAAAGTACACATCCGCGCCGCGATCTGCCATGATTCGCCTGGCATGGCGAACTAAAAAGTACCGTTCATCAGCAAACGCCGACGCAGCCGGTAGGATTCGGCTCGCTTCCCTTCCCAACGCAGTTACGCGATACACGCCGGCCACCCGAGCCGGTTCCCGTGTCGGGGGCTTTCCTTGACAACTGCCGTCGCCAAACCGTTTGGTATGTTGAAGATGCATTCTGGACATCAGGTTTGTCAGTCATGTCCGGCTTGGCAGGCAAAGTTCTGTTCAAGGTGAGACTTGAAGCCGTCTGCTTCCTGGCGGGGCTTGAAACGGCAATTCAAGCCACTGATTCAGGGTCCAGTGCACCCAGCGAGTCCCAGGTGCAGAAGAGCTGCAGTCCACTGATGCGACTAAGTGGACTGTGCGCCGAGACTGGTGACATGGAGCTGCCAGGTACAACTCTGTTTGTACTCCAATGCCCCACATCGCAACTCCCACCATACGTCACCCGCATCGACCCCTCGGAGCAGCTCGCATCTCTTCAACTCCTGACTCAAATCACGTCTGAATTCCATGTCCGGCAACGCGATCCCAAATCTGCTGTCCCTCCGCGGAGCAAGGGGAGGCCGACCCGGTCGCGGGCGCGGAAGAGGCGGCCCAGGCGGCGGACCTTCCTCCGCGGGTCCGACACATGACCAAACCATCCAGGGCACCGACGACGATGCCGCCGGATCACGTCTTAGCGCCGTCAATGTGGGATACCTAGAGGACCCGTACGCCCGCTTCTTCGTCGACGGCATGGCTGGACCGCCTCCCAGGAGACTACCCATCATCAACCGAGGTCCGTGTTGTCCAGGGTCTGCTTCCGTCGAGCATGGAGGCTGACCTCTATCCCAGGCACTTACACGAGAACCGTTGCTCTCGACAGCCTTGTCGACAGCTTTTTATCGGAAGCCGGTGGTTCGGGCGACGGGCCGAAGCAGAAGCAAATCGTCTCTATCGGCGCCGGGACCGACACTCGCCCCTTTAGACTTTTCCCAAGGACCGACCGGCCGGGACTAGTCTATCATGAGCTGGACTTTGCCGTGACGGTGCGAAAGAAGGCCCGCATAGTTCAGGGCGTACCCCCTCTGCGTCAAATCCTCGGTAACCCTTCATCGGAGGAGGATGGTTCGTGGAGCTGTCAGCCTTCAGCTTCCGATAGCTACTACTGCCACGCACGCGATCTTAGAGAGCTCGTCCAGCCCGGCGCACCAACCCTCAAGGGACTTCGAACGGACATTCCGACTCTCTTGATATCTGAGTGTTGCCTGTGTTATCTGGAAACATCCGCAACGAAGGACCTCATCTCGTGGTTCGAGCAGAAGATTCCCGACCTCGGCATCATCATTTACGAACCCATCAGGCCCGACGACCCCTTTGGCAAAATGATGACGTCCAACCTGGCGGCACGACGGATTCGTATGCCGACATTGGAGAGCTACAAGTTACCGCAGGACCAAGAACAACGCCTTCGCGACACTGGCTTCGAGCATGCCAACGCGTTAACAGTCGAGCGGATCTGGGAACGGTGGGTGTCGTCAGACGAGAAGGAAAGAGTTGACCGACTGGAGGGGCTGGATGAGGTGGAGGAGTGGAAGCTGCTTGCCGACCATTATGTTGTAGCCTGGGGATGGAGGGGATCCGGGTTTGAACTGTTCAATTCTAGTAGATAGCGGGCATGGGAAGCTTCCCGTGCGAATGCAGACCATCCGAGGTTGTAAGAGCACCAACGTTGGGGTCTGGTTTACAATCCATGAAAAGCGTTTGCTCTGAGATAGACTACACAGGTAGACAGTTGCTAGGGTTCACATCCTCGCTCTGTACTCCATGGCCACCCGGACTTGGGTTTGCTATCCTAACCCAACTCATCAACAATGTATGATAAGGCGGCAGCCAACTTCAAATTTCGAAAATTCCACATCAAACTGGACAACACCGAAGAAATCGGGCAAATATACAGAGAGTCGGTAAGGTGCTTTGAATCGCAGCTTGTTCGTGAGACACGACATCTGCTGGACGCACCACCAAGTCCGAGAATTATTGTAATCGACCTTGATATGTTCTGCCAGCTTGTTGCAAACTTGGTGCAACGATGTTCCCGGTGCAAGCTAGATCTTAGACGACTATATATGTTGCGTACTCTGGTCCAGAGTATAGTCTCTCCCAGTTGCGTTCGGCTGATGTGGACGAATGCAGGAGGACAGGGGGTAGCAGTGGGCTTCACGTTGACCAGATGGCAGAATTCGACTGCCTTATCTCGTATGCTCCGCGCTGGAGGAACCAATAACGAATCAACACGACGATGCCCACAGGGAACACCAAGCAGGAGGGCTATTTGACAGAGGCAGACCTAGATTGCCTAGGATTTGACAGCCTATTGGGAAAAAAGAAAAAACAAAGAAGAGATTCGACTGATCTGGCGAGGCTCTGTCACTGGGCCTTCCGCATAGACACCGATGGATGTTCCATTCTGATCGAAGATAAGTTCAACTACTTCAGCTCCCATCAATTGTCCTGGAGGCCAGCTTTGGGATCAGGTGTGAGCGCAGGGTGCAAGGTGAAAGGATTTGCGCCAACCGCCCAGCGTCTTCTCAACCCGCTCCATCGCCGCTCTTCAAGCTCTGGCAGGCGCCCCATTCATAGCTCCCTCTGAGCCTGGCGTTCGTCCTCTGATCTGCTTGGCTTGGAAGTATGCCTTCACAGTTTGCTCCAAGAGACAGGAATGGGGCAATCAACAAGGGTACGTGAGATATGCGGCTGCGGCAAGATCAACCTCGTTCGTCGATTCCCGGGCTCAGATAATCTGGCGAAATCTGGCGATGATGTGGATTAATCATCTTGTCAGAGCCCATCAAGTGTTGGTTTAAAGCATGTCGGTGAAGTGCGAAAGCCCACTGAATGAGCATGGAATGCGGCATGTGCGGACCTATCTAAATCGTGGTGTTCTTTCAGGCATCAAGGTGTTGGAACGAAGCGTTGGACAGGGTAAGGTAGCGTAGAACAGAAACGACATCGTAACTCGCACTTTTGTCTCAGCTACTACGCACTATGCAACGGAACCGCAGACAATCATCGGAGCTTCCCCTTCGTGAGGCCAAATCTCGCGTCAGCTGTGTCGCAAACGACGCGACAGCCTCACGCTGAAACTCTCAGAAGACAGCTATAGAAACAGGACAGTAACCACCAACGCCAAGCTCCTCGACGCCTCCGCGGTTCGTGTGCGCATTCCGATCAACCTTCTTCACTACGGCCCAACGCGGGTGCCGCAAGCAATGAAAGCAAAAGAAATTTCGTCTTCTCCATCCAGAAGATTAAAAGGGTTCCAAAAATTCCCTAGCCAGCCGAAGCCAACTAGGAGTGGTCATAGTTATAGTTTTCAACTAGCAAAAACACGATCTCGGACGAATCCTCACTGATACGCGTAAAGCCCTTGCACTCGGATGGAGAAGAAAAAGAAGAGAAATTTCGAAAGACGGCGGGGGGGTCGAGAGAATTTTATACCCGTTCCCTGGCAGCTGGAGTGGGGCACCCAATCAGCCGCGGTACGTACCTATTGCGACCCTGAGGTGCTCCCTCCTTTCTGCATTTGTGCTAGTGCGTACCTGCCTGGGTTGAGGCCAAAGTAGGACCCACCAGTACCGCTTGCCCAGGGGAAACAGAAACTTTGGAAGGTGCTCTGCAGAGCAGCACCGGCGGAAGGCATGCCGGTACGTACCACCCGCACGCCCCGAGCTCCGTGTCCGCCGACTTCACATCTCAAACCTCTGCGACGCGCGGGGTGGAAAGGAAGAACATTCAAGACCACTAGGGACATGCGAATATCTGAACCGTAAAGATGCTGTCCTTCATCCTGATCCAGAATCGCCAGTATGTTTCTGTGCAACCCAGTCCACTCCTCCCGCGATCCAAAGAGGTTCTTGCTGACTGACATGCTATGATCAGGGGCAAGACCCGTTTGGCCAAGTGGTACGCACCATACAGCGACGACGAGAAGATTAAGCTCAAGGGCGAGGTAGGCAGCAGCCCATTCAGTCACAGTCCCTTCGCGGTAAGAAAGGCTAACGTCCTCTGTCTGTCGTCCAGGTCCACCGCCTCGTCGCCCCCCGAGACCAAAAGTACCAATCCAACTTTGTCGAGTTCCGCAACAACAAGATCGTCTACCGCCGGTACGCCGGTCTCTTTTTCTGCGCCTGCGTCGACACCAACGACAACGAGCTCGCCTACCTCGAGGCCATCCACTTTTTCGTCGAGGTCCTCGACGCCTTTTTCGGCAACGTCTGCGAGCTCGACCTCGTGTTCAACTTCTACAAGGTCTACGCCATCCTGGACGAGGTCTTCTTGGCGGGCGAGATTGAAGAGACGAGCAAACAGGTTGTGTTGACACGGTTGGAGCATCTGGATAAGCTGGAGTAATGTGCTGCGCCGTCGCGGAGGACAAATGAGCGTGCGTTCTCGGGGGAAAGAGGAAAGTCAAGGGAACGTGGGAGGCTTACCTTTTCATGGGCTGCTTTTGGACCAGCGCTGCGGCTCGTCCATGACGCCAAAGGAGTACGGATATGCTGGAGTCTGGAGTTCAGTCGAGAACGACATGCACGACGTCGGTTCTCCTCGTAATTATGGAAACTTTTTGAATTTGGGCAAACTATAGGCTATGAACGAGTATCTCGGGGGTCAGTCCCCGTTTTTGGGAGCAAAACTAGGAGGTATGTCCTCGTATCCATCGCCCAGATGCCAAATGTGCAGTATTTAGGCACAGACCTTAAAACCAGCCTCCCCTTATCTTCAGACCCAGGAGAAGCAATTCTGGGTGTATAGCGCAACCCTTCGAACCCAACCCTGATATCCTGCCTCTTGTGGTTGTGCAAACGGATATAAGCACGTTTAAGCTGTCGTCCTCCGGATACGGGATCCGATTTGTACCGCACACGAGCTCAGAAGTCGGATGGATCGAATGCGCATAGGCGGGAGACGGCCGGGTCGGTATGTCGCAGAACGTTTAGAGAATAGGGCAAAAGTTCCTCTATGAGCAAAAAATGCTCACGCAGCGGTGGATGCAGCCTCAATCATGGCTGGCAACATACGCAAGTGTTAATTACTGACGATCAGTTCAGCTTTTCGGGTGTTAGGAAGATCTCCTTAGTCTTCACACTTGGATGAGGCGGAGTCTTTGACGGTCAGGCGCGACATTCGCCTTGCGGCACGCGTCTCCTCGTCTTCGTACATATCCATTGCCGTGTTGCGGCCAGCGACGTTGACGTACACGTTCTCATGCTCTCGGCCTTGGAAAAGTGCCTTGACGCGAGGGTCATAGGGAGGGTTTCTCTGGAGAGGCTTCACCGTCTGGTACGGGACGATAGCCTGACCCTCGGTTAGGGTCTTGACAGAGCCCTCAGCAGCGTTTGTCATGCAAACATCACCGTCGGTGTCAGGAGAGATTGCTCCGCGCGGAACAGGAGAGCTCATCAGCGAACAGGCCGAATCATCGTTGTCGTTGCCTTTCGATTCCTCCGCGATGACGGCTTCTGTTTCAGCGAAGGTGGCATACTGGGAGATACCAGGGCCGAACTCGTTAGCGGAGTTGTTGTGTCCAGTGATGTTGCTACCAGGGCTGGTGAAAGGCATCGGACGGTTGGAAGGGGTCGACGAGGGCTGAACGTAGCCGTAGGAAGCCAACTCAATTCCGAAATTCTCAAGAAAAGCGTCGGCCTCAATACCAGCCTGCTCCCACTCCTCTTCGGAAGTAAGAGGAATGAAATCCTCCTCCATTGCGTCTCGGTTAACCGGCTGGAACTGTGTGGCATGCTGCTGACCGGAGGGGAAAGAGGTTGTAGTGGCCGGCTGGTTGAGTTGACCGACATTGGGCTGCTCAAATAGAGACTCGGCATCATCCCAAGGCAAACCTGCGGGAGGAGGAGAATCACGACGGACCCGCTTTGTTGGTGGCGTGTGAATATCACTCCAAGGAGAGAGTCTACCGTCTGAGGCCACGATAGAGGACTGAGAGTGTTGCAAGGAACCTCTACTGGTATTCGTGCCTGTGACGGTCTTGTTGCTGTCCTTTCTAGCCGTCTCCAGCTTCATCTTCGTCTCAGGGCGGTATGAATCAAGACGGCGGTTCGAGTCGCGCCGACTGCGACGACTACGTCCGTCGATGGGAGCAATGCTGCTGCTGCGGGAACGGACAGTGCTTCCTCCGGCATTGGCACTCGGGCGGTATCTATCAGTGCAATTTTGAATGAAAGCGGCCCTGTCCTCATTAATGTGGCCGTCGCTGCCTCGAGAAGTTTGCTGGATGGACGGTTTTCTGTTTCTTGCACTGGTCACCGCTCCTCCTTGCGTATGCAAGATTCCACCCATTGGAGCTGCAGCTTGATGAGCCAAGCGATCTTCTTGAGCATCCATAGTGGTTTGGTGCGATTGAGGGCCTCCAAGTGTCTTGGACAGAGAGGATCGTCTTGTAAATGAGTCGCTTCCGGGTTCTGCCTTCGAGGATTTTGATTTCTTGCGAGAACGTCCCTTTGATGACGGCTTGATGGAGCAAGCATTTTTGTAGTGCGTTCCGGCTTCACCACAGTTGTGACAGACGTAACTCTTGGGAGGAGGACTGTCAAATGAGGGATTGGAGTTCGTTTCGCAATCCTGAACGAAATGGCCTGGTGAGATTTTGTCAGCTGGCTATTCAGTGGCTTGATGGTTTTGTCTTCATCCGTACCCGGTCGCTCGCAGCGCTTGCACAGGTAGTCGCCGGTAGGGACGGCTGGAGCCGCTGCAGGAGGAGGCATGACGGAGATAGCCTCTTCTTCGTTCTGCGCTGAGAGCCACTCTAAACGTTCGCTACTGACACCGTCGTACTTGGACTTGTCGAAGCTGGAGCGCCTGCTCTGCAAATCTGACTGTTGCGAAGCTGGTGAAGATAGAGGAGCTCTGGTCTGCAGGAGATGCTCATTGAAGGTTGAGGAAGTGGCTGTAGCAGAATGGGCAGAAGCACGACGAGGCTGGTCAACCAGCTTCTTGAAGTGGATCTCAATGTCGCGTCTGGCGTAGTTGAACTCCCGCTTACCATCTGGGAAACACTTCAGGTACTCATTCTGGTGATTCGAGAAGGAAGCAAGAACCGGTCCCTTGTCGTAGCCTTCGCGGGCTAAAAAGTCACAACCTTCTCTGTAAATAACTGTGGAGTCAAGGGCGGAGTGATAACCAAGTCTTGGAATTTGCAATGTCATCCATTTGGTGTAGATGCCGAGGAACGTGGGCTTGTCAATGACGTGCCGCGAGGATCGAAGCAACTTCCTCTCCAAGCGACTCTGGCTCACATCCTGGAGTTCTCGTGGCGTCAAGTCCAGAGCAGCAAGTTTGTCCCGGGACATAGCGAGGATACAAGTGCTTGAACCAGCTGAAAAGGGTATAGGATAGAGCACGAAGGCGCTTCTGAAAAAAAAAAAAAAATTATTAGTATTGCAGTTTGTGAAGCTTCACAAGGACTGTGTAGTGAAGGCAAGCTGAAGGTGCGACAAACGTGAAATTAGGTTAAGGGAACGGCGCGGTAACTGCACTCAACGCGGGCAGGGTACTCCAGAAAGAGATGTGTTGTTGTTTGTGAGATTTGAAAGAAAACAACCCCAAATGTGAAGTAGTGCGATCCCAAAAAGTTGGTGTCGAGGGTTGAGTGAGTGAGAGAAGGGTGGGAAGAAGGCGCGTAGTAGGACCTCATGCCAGAAGTTTTGTCAGTGCAGGTAGGAGCCCGACTACTGGAAGACTGCAGTGGAGCGTTTGATACTCCCGAGACAAAAAAGGTCCAGACGGCAAGGAGCCCGAGGTGCGATCATGCTGCCTACCGAGGCCAGCACTTCCTTCATTAGGCCGAGTCCTGCTATCCAGACTCTACTGTCCTCCGTGGCTCCTCCATCTTCAACACCGTCGCGGATTGTCTCTCCCTGACGGTATTTGAAGCACTTTCGACGATTTCTGGATAACAAGTCACGCATAGGCTATATAGGGACAACGAAGATAGCCGCAGCGACATGGAATGATTACCATGGCTCTTCATCGGGGAAAGAGCTCACCAACTGCGAGGAAAAGGAAGCATGACGATGCAAGCTCGCAATACGCGTCCATTCTACGCCATGCCTAGAGAATACTAAACACAAATATGCATGCCCTTACCAAGGATAATTCTCTCAAATCAGACTGCCAACTCCTCGTCCTGCAAGGCAATAAACTCGTCATCTCTTCAAAGCCGCAAACCTCCTCTCCAACTCCGTAATATCGGGCACGTTACCCCCCGGCCCCTTGCCGCCCGGCTTTTTCTGCGCCGCAGCGTCCATCTTCTTGTTCGGCTTGAGCTCCAGCGAGTTGAGCGTGACCTTGGGGTGAACATTGTCCGTTGTCATCCTGGGCGGAGTGACCGTCAACGGGCTGCTAGGTCCTCCAATCGTCCTCGGTGGCGTCGCCTTGCTTAGCTCCTCCTGTTCCTTGGCTACCTTTGTGCTATTTCCCAACGGACCCTCGGGTATCTTGACACCAATACCGCCGCTCGGGTTGTCGTCGTCGTCATCGTCGTCCAGCAGATCAGGAGGCTCCGCGGCCTGTGGCCGTTTCGGCCAGTCGACGTTGTACGCCTTGGCAATCTCCTCCAGGTACCCGACCACTAATTCCTCCTTGGGTGGGACGACACTGAGCTTCTTCACCACCTTATCTGACACCTTGCCATCCGAGTTGTCCATGGCTGTCATTACGAACTCCTTGCCATACTTCTCCGCGAGCAGCGTCCGCACGACCTGCAGCTCCTTGATCTCCGTCTTGGGCGCCGCATAGATGATGCTCTTGACCGCCTCCTCCAAGCCAGGGTCACACGTCGAACCTTCGAGAAGCCCTGCGCGTGCTATCAGAAGTTCGCAGTACAGCTCCAGTATCTCGTGTAGCTCGGTCGTGATGTCGGAGCGGATTATGTTCTCGACTCGGATGCGCGCGGAGTCAATCTTGCCCACCTCGAGGAGCTGCGCCATTGCGCGTCGTTGCGTCTTGGACAGTTGCTCATCGCGCTGCTGGACCATGCGCAGCCGTGCGATTGCCAGCTTCAGCTGGACCTTGAGCTTCGTCTAATCGGAGGGGGATCATTAGCATTGGACATGTCGTCATCGCGCCAGAACGGCGGGGTAAATGCGGAATGGGCGGGGACGACTCACAACGACGTTTACAGGAGGGGCCATGGTGTTGCGTGTGTCCGTGTAGTTCGAGGAGAGAGAATGACGACCAGTACAGATTGAATGCGAAAGACGCCACCCTTAAGCAGCGCAAGGCAGACAAATTGAAGCAGGGTGGAGGACAACCTTGGAACTCCGGAAGGGGTCTGTCTGCCTTATCTAATCGCGACAGGTAGGTGGGATGGCTGGAGCTCGCGCCTCACTGCGGGGTCCCGTTTGTGCCCAAGTGGCATGGACCAGGGATAGGTGGTCTGCAGCGGACGGGGGTACGTACAGGATTTACCTTAGGGGCTAGCAGCCCAGGGGAATGCCCAGGAATTACCACTGACAGGTGCCACTCGGGTCCTTCATCCCGGCTGCTACGTATGTCACGCATTTCCGTGTCATTGACAATTCCATGTTGATTTCACTTTGAGGATCGACATGATTTTTTCTTATTCTTGAATTGCCATGTAAACCTGCCTAGCCTGGCCAGTCCGTCCCAAACCCCAGCTGAAATGCATGCGAGTATGATCCACCAACGCCAAAGTCATTCAGCCCTTCCGTGGGTATCTTTACATCGTGTCGTAAGAAAGCTCAACCGCGAAATTGACGGTTGCAAATTGAAAAGCCAGTTTGTGTACTTGTGATTGCTCGTGTTTGTCCAGAAAGACAAATCAGAACTGGCGACAGGTCAGCATAGTGCGTCACGATAATTGCAGACAAACGTACGATGTTGAGAGCCGTGTGCTGGGGCAGTCTCGAGCCATTGAGCATAGCTCTGGTCTTCTTGGGGCGCTGCTGGAGACGTCTGAAAGCCTCCTGAACATGGCGCGGTTCGATCGGGGATCTACCCTCACTAGGGGGATCGAAGAGACCAGTCGCGACCTTTCGCTTCTTCGAGCCGGCATTGTCGCCTCCGTTGAGTGCCTTGAACAAGTCCTCCTGCTCCTTAACCTTGAGGGCGTGCTCGGTGAGGGTCTGGACCATCTCGAACGTCAGGAAACCGAGAATGTCCACAATATCGTCAGAAGGCTTGCTGTCGGTGACAATTCCAAAACCAGCCCACTCGCGGAAGCGCTTGCCCTTGCGGTAGGTGAAGGAGGCCTGACGGTATTCGGACCAGGTGACGTACTCCTCCTTGGTCATGGCCTTGGTACGCTCATCAGCCTTTCGAAGGCGCTGAAGGGTGATGAAGTTCATCTCCTCCTCCTCTTCATCCTCCTCATCGTCACGCTCGGGGACTTCTTGACTGTAGAATGAGGACGGCTCCCAGGGAAGGCCGACCTTGGCCTTCTTGTTCTTCTTTGCAGCATCATCGACGGGACCACCAGGCATCACTCCGCCAGCAGGGTCTTCGCCGGCACCGAGATCCGCCTCACCTCCCTTGTCGTCGGAATCCTTAACATTTTTTCGAACATCCTTCCACGAGAGGAAGGTCCGGAGGCGGGAGACCTTGGCTTGGTCGTGGCGGATCTGGAAAATCAAGTCATTGATAGTGATTGATCGAGAACCACGACGAGCAGCGAGGTCTGTGCAGTTTCTGAGCTAGCAATGGGTCAGGGTGGTAGCGCCGGAAGTAGGTAAAAGCATCAACATACCAGCTCAATAACCTGCTGACGAACGATATCTTCGATCATACTAGTAGTTTCGACAGACGGCTCTGCAGTCTCGCCAGAGACGTACATCATCTTTCGGAAAACGTTAGCGATTCGCTCATGAATTCCATAAAGTCGCTTCTCGCCCTCCTTGAGCGGGGGCAAAGGACGATGTTTGGGAGCTCGACGACGTCTGGGCTTGGGCTTCTGAAGCTCGGCTCGCTCTTCATTGGTGACGGGGATATCAAAGATGGATTTGGAACCAGATGGATGTATAACGCCGACCGCTTGGTCGAAGGTGCTCTGAAACAGCTCATAGGATTCGCGTTGAACGCGTTCGGAAACTGCTTTGGCTGCTCTGGAGGGGCGCAAGGGCTTGGATTTCTCCTCAGGCCCCTCGACCTCGCTGTTGCCATCCTCGGGAGTCAGCTGCTCAAAAATGCCAATTGCCATCTCAAGACCGCTGACAAGGTCTCTCAAGTGACATCCGACATCCGGAAGGTAGTAGGGAAACTCGAAGCTTTTGAGCCGTTCCATGTCGCCGAGTTGGTGATTTATGGGGTTTTGAGTGAATTCGAGTATGGGTTGGATTTTCGGAGGGCGCGCTTCTAACAGGAGGGGAAGAAAGTGTTTGAACCCTTCAGGAAGCAGCTAGGTGTCGTGTGTACGAATAGCCAAGGCAGGTGTCTCCTTAGAGACATCGTCGGGATCTGAGCCTCGTCCAGCTTACCGGGCTGGCTGGTCGCCTTAACGGTGCTGCACTTGCAGCCAGGAGCTCTTCGAAACGGCTGTTGATATCCTTGGCCTGACATACTGGAACGAGCTATCACGCGGCTAGGCCAGCAAGCCTGGGGCCTGGGGCGTCGATGTTTGTTGGTGTGCGCAAGAGAGTCAAAGCAAAATGAATGCCCAGCAAAGCGATAGAGTGGTTCTCAAACAGCATAATGTCTAAGCTTACCTGACTAATCTCCTGGCGATATTTATACGCCTTGTCATTCTTTGAGTCCGACATCTTGAAGGTTCGAGAACAGCTTCGACGATGTGGATTTGGTAGGTGGTTGAATCGTTATCGAGACAGCAAATTTCCAAAATTTGAGAATGCTGTTATTTGTACTTGGTCTGAGTATTTTGATGCAATGTCACCGAGAAAAAGGATTCGCGTCGGTGTTCAGAGTGGAACGGGCTGGTCAACTTGGTGCCAGAGATGAAGTTAAGGTGAGCAACTGCAACAGTGGATTGATTAGGTGACAAGGGCCCGCCCCCAGATTCAGAGGTGAATGGAAGTTGGGGACCGCTGGCTGGTACCGGAAAAAGTAATTGCCGTCTCCGCGCTGTGTATGCAGCGCCCGGGCACAGGCCTAACCTATTAAGGGCCCGTCCCCTATCGCGTTGAGAGATCCACCAGGTGGGACATAGCTATGAATTGCTTTCCGCAGCTTTCACCCCGCAAGTCGGAGGAAACCCTTACTCTGTGGCTTCACAACCATCTTACCCTGCTGTATGCTATTTCATATCTGTTCTAACCCTTTTATGAAGACTATTCCGACATATCAGCCACTCAAGGCTCCAGAATTGCCTCGGTGGCTCCGTTACCCAGCTCCCGTGCCTTCGAGAAAGCGAATTGGCCCATCGTCCCGTGCATACTATCTATCCACATGATGGTCTGCAAAGTGGAACGAGCCTCATGCCATGATAACTTTGGATATGCTAGTGTGAACCAGATTGACCGTAAACATGGCTCGTCAGGTTCAAAGACGGATATGGAGCCCACGATGAGCATCCAGAACAGCAGTTTCTCGTGCACCGGCGTACGTATGATGAAGTTCTTACATGCCATGCGGAACTTCGCAGCAAGGTATGCGTACGGAAACTTTCCGCCCGGAATCTGAAGCGTCGTTGAAAGGAAGGCGAGCATGCCTAGACGAAGACACTCATCTGAGGCATCTTCAAGATCACCTTGAAGGTGTACGAGGCGTGCCTGGACGGACCCCAAGCAGTCTTGGAACAGCAGGCCGTCGAGCCGCGAGTTGTTTGCCAAGTGGTTGTTGACCAAACACACCAGGTGTCTAAGGTCTTGAAAGACTACGGCAAGTCTGGTATCGGCGAACACTTCGATCAGACCTACCTCGATAGTGTTTGTGCGGGTTTCGAGAGATCTTTCAAAGTATGGACTCCACGATACAGGGCCTGTGAAGAAGGACGGAATACCTCCGCTCCCGAGGGCCCACGTGAGAGCAAGCCTGGTCAGTGTCAGAGGTTCGCCCTCTAGTGCCCTTACGGTTCGTTATAGACTCACCGATCAAGCTTGAAATGCAACTTGGGAAACCTATGAAGGTATTCAAGTCCCCCGCGTAGACGAACGATCTGTTGCAGCCCTGACAAGTGTACAGCGGCAGAGTTAAAGTCGCCCCACAAGCTCGCGATCATTGCCAGTGTCAAGATGACATGGAAGATGGCCTCGTTCTCGTGCGAGTTCTTCTGGGACAGGGACTTGTTGAGCAGAGAAATGGTGCGTCGCAAGTGGAATTGCGTGAGCTTTCCTGAAGGCGCGTATTTTGTACGGTCTTGAATCGCTGAGGAGCAGAACAAGATGCTGTGGAGAAAGATCTGATCCTGCAAAATCCAAGAGAAGGATAACGCTTCTGAATTCGGGGAGCGGGGCAGATTGACGATATGTTCGACGGGGTAAAAAGTCTCCTTTAGTGTGGCAGAGGAAAATACTGAAGATAATGAGATCTGGATACCTTTCGACACGTTGGGGTGGCTTACGTCTAAAGAGAACCTCCTGGGAAGGCCTCTCCAAGTCATCTGCGAACCGCACCAGGGATATGTCGGTGGGAGGCAGAGAAGGCGTCGGGTCTTTCAAGGTGATCAGGTCGTCCTCTGAGCTATCTTCCATGGTTGGGGCTTGTCGATATTTCCTAGCTCTCCTCGTTCTTGAAGGGTTATCTGTTGAAGACCGAGACGAGTTGGATGGGACGTACCGAGAGCCTCGTTCATGTTCGACTGTTTGCGACGAGCTAGTAGTTTTCAAAGCCTTTCGCGCAGCCTGCAAAGATCTCCGAGACCCTTCTTGTCGGTTCTTTCCCTGCATGCATCGACTGCGAATGACTGATCGGTCGGCGGATCTAGTCTTGCCAGAGTCGCCGACAACGACAAATGCGAACTGATTGGACATGGTAGCCGCGCCGAACAAGTTTAGTAAAAATTGAACGAAGGCACTGAGCACTATCATTGCCCAGTCTCAGGTTATTCGGGACATGCAAAGGAAGTATTTCATGACAATTACGATGCTGGGGACTTTGAGCAGGTCTTATGGGATCGGCGGCATTGTCCCGGACATAGGACTACACAGCTCCGACCACATTGTATTCCTCTTTGGGTAAGCGTCCCGCTGTAAGCCGTAGGCCGGAGGCGGCACCGACTAACACCCGAGGCTGACCAGCCATTATGCATACCTAGTTTGACACAAAACTGGGCGGGATGAATGTTGTTTTGGTAGTAGTACCTAGTCTGTGTCTTGATAGACCGGCGTCATCCCCAACGGGTGCATTGTCCTGTGTGACTCCCTTGCCCCTACCCGGCGAACTCATCGATTACTCCAGCTCGTGATTACCTGTTTGGGGTTTTTTTTTTTTTTACCTCTTGGGTCTTCTGATAATCAAGGTTACTTCAAGTCGTCTCTAATATGATGTTTTGGCCAAACATTTTGTGGGACGCACCTGAATGGTAGATATGACCAGTTATAAGAGACAGACTTTTCTGCACTTTTACCATTCGTCCCGGTTCTGTACTTTCAAACCGCCACACTCATCTCTTCCCGTTTTGAACAGAAAATCTAACATGAACCTCCGTCCCAGGAAAGCATCGGCGACGACGAACAATGCTTCTGGATCATCGCGTGAGACAGCCAAAAGAGTCACGAAAAAGGCAACGGTACCCCAGAAAAGCAGATCTGCAAATACGAGGGATGCGTCACGTCGTAAGCTACGAATAGCCCCCAGTCGCCGCGGGCTGGGATCTCAAAAGAACCAGTTCCGATTGATGGACTTGCCCATGGAACTCCGGTTGATGATCCTGAAGGAGATGACTGCCAGTCATGGCGGATCACCTCTCAAGCTATCCACAGTCTGTGTCCAATGGCGAGAGTTCTTTGAGAAAATCATATTCACCAACGTAAAACTCAAGTCATCTTCCGACATACGTTGGTTCGACCGAATGATGACTGGAAGGCGAAAAAGTCTTCTACAATCGATTTGGCTTCATGTAGAGTTGTGGACATACAATTGCGTTATTTGTCAAACGGAAGACACCGCCGCCGAAGCGGCAGCCAACAGCAAAATCTTCAGTATACGTCTTTTACAGCTTCTCGACATTCTCTCAACGTGGGATATCAAACAGAATCTTACGCTTGAGCTGAGTGCCGCATCCCCAAGTGATACGAGTCACTGCTTTGGACCGTTGATTGGCGGACAATTTTCGTGGGCAGACCCTAGTTTTCATAAGGCTTACTTCACCCAAGAGCGGAGATATGTTGGCTCTCAGCGGCGGAGACTTGGAAACCTGCTCGATTTTGACGTCGGCAACTGAGCCACGATCCCGGAAATTCGAGAGATGAAGAAATTCGTGATTAACTGCAGATTTCAGAGAAACCTGTCATCAGGCGCTCTGATGAATGTATTCCGATGTCTTCCCTACCTCGAAGAGATAGTTTATGAGCCATCACGCGGAGTTGATTTCGCAGACGATATCGCCCGGATCTCGGCAATCAAAACGTTGTTTAGAATGCTGCCGCGAACGGTGCAAAAACTTCAACTCTGGGAGAAAAAGAATTTCAACAAGTACACGTTCTTCGGCAAACGAGACACAGAATCTCTCGCGCTGGTGGCGGCCCAAAACGCGCGTTCTCTTATGGCTTTTGACGCATCAAACTTGTTCAAAGCACACGAATTTTTCCGAATAGCCTCCTCGTACGGGCCATGGTCAAGGATGAAGTCTCTAACGTTGAGGTCTAAATTCCGTGAACAACCGGAAACACTGTTTTGTGATGCAGCTGCAACAGCCATGCACATGCCTAACCTCCAAATCATGGAAATATGGGCTGGCAGTCTAGGGTGGGGGTATTTGTTTCGTTATGAAGTGCTAAGCGGGATTGCCGAGATCTCATTTGAGGCTCAATTCCGGTTTGACTTCAGCCCTAAAACATGTCGTGCGTGGCGAAGTGTGGCAGAACAACGCGGACTGAAATTTGAGGAAAGAACTCCGATTCTCGACAAAATGGAGTTATGCACACAAGAATCTGTGAGAAGTCGGTTGCGTAGCTGTAAACTACTATTATAACACCGCGTAGCCCATTGTTAGGGCACACGTACCTTGCCCATCGTTCCCGCCGGAATATGTTGGTCAGTGATGATGAGCACAGGTATGATAGATGTAAGCGAAAAGATGAGACTTTCAATGAAGTCTAACGGGTATTGAACAGAAAGTAGAACAAGAAAAGGAGATGCAGACGCAGGAGTCGCGCCTTCAAGAGGTGACCTGGCGACTCCCCTTTCTCTTATGTACATACAAGACACCAGCTAGATGCTGTCCTCACGGCCGTGCGCGCGCCCATGCCCTTGAATCCCTCAGCCTTGCCCTGTCCAGAATCTTCCCATGGTATGTTGTTTGCCCCCCTTCCGAATCGTACATAAAAAGGACCATTAAATGTGCTCAGCATCGTGGTTGCAGAGCTAAAGAACATGCAGAGTCGCCGCTGAGCCTGACGAGGGTCTTTCCGAAGTCGTAATTTGTCCAAAGTTATTCGGCCCATCCAATGTTATATCAGATAGGAGCGGGATCTTCGACCATCTCTGCATCTTCGGTGTTGGCAACGATCCCGTCAGGACCCTCGCCCTCAAATACCTCATCTCCCTCGTATGTCTTTCTCTTCCAGCCGCAGGGCTCTGAAGGGTCCTTGATCCACTCCATGGTCGGGAAGTAGTGCTCGTTCTTCTTCATGGTGATAACCCACGGCACGCTGTCAAAAGTGACGGCCTTCAAGCGGAAATCTGCTGCTGTGTTAGTCTTGACTTTACATACATACTGATAGGACACTCACAGGTGTTGTCTGGAATCTTCTGGACGGTTGCAAGGAAAGATTCCATGTTAGGCGTAGACTTTCCGTTGACGTGGGTGATGAAGTTTGTGGGCGCAAGGCCGTACTGGTACGAGGGCGAACCTCGAGTGCGAGCCGAGACGTAGACCTCGCTGTGCAACTTGCTGATCTGTTGTCTAACGGCATGGTGAGGGCGGTGCAGGATGGCTCCGCAGAAAGAAATAGCATGATCTGTCTCAACGTCATCCGCAGCCACGGTGTGAGCCTTGATGTGAAGCTCTTGGCAGTCACGGACAATGACAGCGTCCAAGACCTCGTGAGAATACATGATATCGAGCTCAGAGACCTTGGTGATGACCTTGCCGTTGAGAGTGAGCAAAATGTCACCTTCCAACAGGGCACCAGACTGTTGATCACGCTCAAAAGTCCGCTTGCTAACCATGAATAGTTGGTGGTGTGTCTTGTTGGCTTCGGTGACCTTTGTCATCCACTCATCAGAGACGCCCATGACTCTGGCCTGAGCCATGCCAATGGCCCTGAATTCAACCGACAGCATTCTCAGCTTCGGGACGAGACCCTGTTGAATCTGGGAAACAACAGATAGCAAAGTGGGGGTGGCCAGTCCAAGGTGGTACTCTTCGTCGCGGTTAGAGCACGGCGAGCGCTCGCCCAGGTAAGTGAGCCAAAGGGCTTGAACGGTGCCGTCGTCCGCGACGAGAACACCGCTACCACATTGGTTGCTCAAGCTGGTGTCAACAGTAATGGCATCAACGTTGACGGCACGGTATCTGGGCGCGCCGGAGTTGGCCGGGATCGCCACAGCCGTGACTTCGGTGACAGTCGTCGACGCGTGGACAATCTTGCCGATTCTGTTGTATCCCATGAAGTTGGTCGAGGCTCCCTGCGAGATGTTCTCGGTGCTCAACTTGGCGCTCTGAACAGGGGCGTCGACCAGCTTGGGGTCATACTGGACGATGGCGTAGTTTTGAAGCGGGTGCAGGAAAACCACCCTGCCCTCGACAATAATAGAGTCAGCAATGGTGATAGTCACGTCGCAAAGATCGTAAGGCACAATGGCTCTGGAGATGACGACGAGACCCTTCTCAGCGTCGATGACCAGACCCATGCCCCATTTTCTGTTCTTGGGGAAACCGTCAAGCTTGACAGGCATGGTGCAGTTGACGTGTACGAAGCTTCGTACCAGGTCAGCAATGGCAGGGTGCTTCACGTTCTCGAGCTGGATGAAGGACGCTGAGCGGGCAACCGGCGGAACGGGAGGAAGGGGGTCGGCGAGGTCAGTGAAGTCCCACAGACCTGTCTCGTCGTTTCTGACCGCCATCTTCATCTTGGCTGACCAATGCCTATCGACATAGATGACTGTCGTGTTGAGAGTGTGCAGATCACGCAGATGCTTGTATGTGACAACAACTCTGGACTTGTCTGGGATGGTCTTCATGACTTCGATGAAGCTCTCCAAGTCAGGGGTCTTCTTATGGTCCACACTTTGAATCAACCAGCCGTTGTCAGCGCTGTCAAACCTGAAAGATCCAGTGGCTTCGCAAACGAAGACTCCTTGGCATGCAACACCGTAGAGACGAGCTTGTTGGTAGGACAAGCTGTGGAAGCTGGCGCCAGCAACGGAAACAAATCGATCAGGGGTGATCTTGTGCAGGTCGCCGACGTCAATATCAACCTCAATGTCCTCTCCACCTCGTTGGATTTGGAGGCGAATAGACTTGCCAACGTTGGAGTCGAGAAGATCATCCAAACGAATGAACTGCGTGACCATCTCTCCGTTCACC